GAGGACGCTGGCAATGCCCAAAGCTAAGAGGAGGCCCTGGAACAGAGTGTCCCCTGAAGGCCTTGATTTTGGACTTCTGGCCTTCAGAACTGTGAGAGAAGTTTCTGTTGCTGTGAACGGCCCTCCCCGAGACCCTTGCACAAGCCTTTACTCCCAGGGTTCAGCTGTTGGGGGACTTCCTCGCTCCAAGCTGTTTCACTGAGCACCGATTTTCCCCCATGGTACCGGTGTCATGTTCGATAGCAGAAGCTGGTAGACACGGAATTCACAGACACGGATTTGCAATTCTTTTGGGATAGCGGGATGTCTCTCCATGAAAAGCTAGCTGTCTTGGCATGGACTTTGGCTCATCTTTATTGTTCAGAATGCACTTGGACACCAATGCAGCAAGAGCATGCCGCGATTCTTCTGCCTGCTGTTTTCCATTTTTTTTTTTTTTTTTTTTTTTCAGACAGAATCTCACTCTGTCACTCAGGCTGGAGTGCAGTGATGTGATCTCAGCTCACTGCGACCTCCGCCTCCCGGGTTCAAGCGATTCTACTGCCTTCGCCTCCCAAGTAGCTGGGATTACAGGTGTGTGCCACCACACCCAGCTAATATTTGTGTTTTTAGTAGAGATGGGGTTTCACCATGTTGGCCAGGCTGGTCTTGAACTCCTGACCTCAGGTGATCCACCTGCCTCGGCCTCCCTAAGTGTTGGATTACAGGCATGAACCACTGTACCCGGCCTGATTTGTCTTTTCGCCGGTTTTAGAAGCATGGACTCTGCTGCTTTGGGTAAATTTGAAGCCATTTTTCTCCTCTCTTGGCAGCATTCCTGGAAAATGCATCTTCTGGTGCTGCCAACTTGAGACGGGAAAGAGAAATCCAATGAAGTGTGGGGCTGTGGTCTTACCGACATCGCCAGGGTGGCTATCAGCAGGTCTTGGCTACAGGATTGCCTTCCTGGCTCTCCCAGGCTCAAGCTAGGGTGGGACCATGGGGCGTGGGCATGCACAGGTGCAGTTGTTCAGGGATGCAGCATGTGTGTGGGCAACCCCCCATCTGGGCACCGAGGAAGGAGAGCTAAGCAGATCCCCGGCACAGTTAGTGCCTGAAGCATATCTTAGCTTATAGTGTTACTACTCAGCTATTTCCTTTATATAGTCCTTTATACTATATAATCATGTATTAGTTTATAGTCGGAACAGTTAGTGCCTAAAGAATATCCTACCACTCAGTTATTTCCATATTATAGATATTCAAAATTATATCTTAGTTCATAGTCGGAGATACCTAGAGCAGACACGGTACAGAGCATGAACGAAGGAGTAGGCAGCTATACATACATAATCATATCTTGCTTATAGTCGGAGGAATGTCTAGCGCAGACACAGTGCGGAGCATGATTTAAGGGAAAAACAGTTATACCAGGACAAGAATCTATGGCCCAGGCGGTAGTGCCTCTGCCTCAAAGGGCATGCACTACATAGCAGGCTGGCCCAGGCGGCAGCGTTCAGTATTATAAAGATACTGGCTGTGTGGCAGGCTTGGAGCAAGTCACTCCTCCTGAAAAGGAGTCGCAGTACCTTGCGTCCAGTTCTTGTGGAAAGCTGGCCTCAGGTTGGCAAGCTCTCGAGCGTCCCAGGGCTTTAAACTCCTCCGGTATAATCATTCCTAGGTGGCTGTATACCTTGTCAGCGCTGCTGCTAGGTACTGACTCAAAGCATCATCCTATAGAAATCACTGGAAGCTGCCAGCAGGTGGCTGTGTACCCTGTCAGCTCTTTAGCTACTGTGCTGACTCAAAGCATTCTCCTATAGAATTCCTTAGATGCTGCCTGCCCCTAGATAAGAGAGTACACTGCACCCTCCTCACTGCGCACGGCCCGCCTCCCAGCCTAGGTGGCCTCATGCGGGTGGGCCCCTTGTTTATTGCTCATGTGATTATCTTGACCCCATCACTATCCTTAAGTTGACCTCACTCACTACCCTGCCCCCTAACCTATACCCAATAAATACAGACGCTCCTGGACATTCAGGGTCTTGCCTGTCTCCGCGTGTAAGTGGCATGCCCACTCCCCCTCCCCGAGCCCAGCTGTGCTTTCTTTGTCCAGGGATAGCTGATTGCATAAGCAAAATGCGGTATATCCAGACAATGGAGTAGGATTCACCTTCAAAAGGAAATTCTGGCACACACTCCAACGTAGATGACCCCTGTGGACTCCATGCTGCCACAGAAGGGCAAATACTACAGGATTCCACTTCTATGAGGGGCCTAGAGTGGTCAAATCCATAGAGACAGACAGTAGAAGGAAGGGCGGGTGCCGGGGCTGAGGGGTGGGGAGTTGGGCTGAACGGGGCCAGAACTTCAGCTGGGGAAGATGAACAGGTTCTGCGGCTGGATGGCGGAGATGGCTGCACAGCACAGGAGTGTGCTTATGCCCGGGACGCACACTTAAACATGGTGAGCGTGGTGTGTTTTACGAGATGTGTATTTTGCCACAATAAAAGAAGTGAGGAGTGCGCAATGTGTGTCAGGGAGTCTCAGAGTCCTGCGCCCAAGGGATCCTTCCGCCTCAGCTTCCCAAAGTGCTGGGATTACTGGCCTGAGCTGCCGCGCTGCTGCTACAGGGCCTTTGGAGTCCGGACAGCCCTGACTCCTGCAGCAGCTGGAGCGCCTCCGCCCGGGAGCGTAGCACCCTAGCATCCAGCCAGCCTGCTGCACACCCAGGGGAAACCCCCTTCTGCCTGTGGCTTCTCCAGCTCTGTTAAAACAGCATGAAGACACCTTTGTTTTGTTCCACACAGGAATTCCCCAAATAATAAATAACACATGTTATCCAGACCAGGATATAGGAGACTTTCATTTTTTTTTTTATACACACAGAAATTTTGGTCTATTCTTTAACTTAGGAAATTCAACTACAGAGTTTAAATTATTATGCATCTGTGATCTTTCTCATTGAGATTTTTTGTTCATCTTTATAACAGGCAGATAAAAATGTAAAACATATTTATGAACTCAACACAGTTGACCAAGCCATTCCAGGTAATACAATGCTTTATAAGGAGGGGCTTCCCAGTGAGACAGGGCCCCGGCCTGAAGATGATGCCTCATTTCTGAACCCCACAGCCCAGCACAAAGGTGACCTAGGGACTGAACAGTCGAAATTTACATAGGCAACTTTCTACAGCAGCAGTGAGGGTTTGCTTTTAATAGCTATTGGCCATTGGTCCTATCGGTGTGTCTACAACAGAGAATGAGAAGCCCGTGAGTGCAGCAGCACACGCCTCATCTTCTGCAATTTCAATGTCTCGAATTTTATTTCTCGTTGACGAACACAAAGATCCTTTTTCTTACTGTCGTTTCAACAAGGACATCAGGGAGCAGTTTACAAATGGGTAACATTCTCAGTGTGCCCTTTAGGAAAAAAGGATGGCTTTTAGTTATGTGCAGCTTGCATTTTCAAGAGGGGTTTTCTTTTCTAACTGAAATTCTTTTGCCCGAGATTTGACTTCTACTACTCAGGGGTGACATGGCATTAATGGTAATAGTGGGGACAGTGGAGGTGAGACAAGCCTCCCAAAGGTGCCAGCCCACGTCGGTGGCTTCCATTCCGACCTCTGTCCCTCAGCTTCCAGCTGTCTCCCAGCGGCTGAGCCCCAGGCCCAACCACCTCCCTGCAAAACGTGACAGCTGCAAGTGCGAGGGCAAGGGTCCTCCATGGTGTCATTGTGGGTGTCACTGTGGGTGTGCCTTTGTGGACCTACGGGCTTCCTCAGGAGGGTGCCAAAAGTCAGGCCCCTCTTTCCTCCCTCTGCCTTCTCTGTACTTCCCTCCCAAGTAATTGCTCATCTGGGGGAAACTGAGGCTTGGGCCGCCAGGTGCCCACACTGCCAGGATAAGCTCCCGTCAGGACCTGGTGCTCAGCCACAAATCCACGCCTTCATGGCTGAAGCTTGGCCTCTGGACGTGAAGAGTAGGGTGGAAAGAGTGCTTTGGTGGTGGCGCCTCTGGTGTAACAGCAGACACTGAGGTGGTCTACTGAGCACTCCTCAGCATTTGCTAGAGCAAACAGTGGGAGTCCATCCGGGTGCCGAGGGGACAGGGTCTGAACTGTGGCCGCATCCCTGCTGTCATTCTCCCACCGCCAGCTCCTCTGGGCTTCTGAGGGCCCGTCTCCCTCCATTGGTTTCTTTTGAACTCTTGGCCCTGCACCTGGCCCCTCGGACCTGTGCTCAGCTGGGGCTGCTCCCTGGACTCTGGGCAGGACCCGCACCTCCAAGAGTGCTTCGTGCTCTTGAAGTTGGGGGAGTGGCCAGGATGAAGGACGTGGAATTGGAGAAACCAAAGAAAGCTGAAAACAAAACTTCCCTTTCACTAACTGAAGGGCTCCTTCTCATCAATACTTTGGTGTTTTCCTTTTAGGTAAGAACTTCCATTGAAAGGGTTTTCTCCTCTCTGGCAGGGGTCTCAGTGCTCCGGACCTGGAGCATCCCCTCTCTGCCTTCTCCTCGGGAATCTCAGTAGGGCCGGGCAGAGGGCAGGAGCAAAGGGTGGGAGTGGATGACGAGGGATGAAAATGGATTGACCAGATATTCTTGCAGTCTAGTTCTCTGAAAAAAACCTTACTACATTCAATAATAAAATTTCCAAATGAAAATGCCTGATAAGAGGAATGTAAATATCATGCCAATAAATAGTTCCTTATGGAAGTATGCATCTGGTCATATATATGTGCATGTGTACAGATCCACACACATACATATATGTGCACGCGCACACACACATGCACACTGCAGATGTGCCTAGTTTTTGCCAGGGACGGGTTGCTTTGTGACTGCAGGGACGCTTGCAGGCGGCGCCCTCGGGTGGCACCCTTCACAGCCCTGCAGAGCACTCAACTTTTTTTTTGCATGAATATGTTGATCTGATTTCTCCTGAATGGGTGCAACAAAAGCTCCCAATAAACCCAAACCAGCCCCTGCCCGCCGCACAGCCCAAACGGCAAACAAGCGGGGGAACTGTAGTTCGTTAAAAAAGAAGCATCAATAGAAAAAAGGTGGGGAACTCAGCTCTTCGCACCCTCTACTTCTCCTTCCTCCTTTGGATGAAGAACCTTCTCCTCCCCCTTCTTGTCTTGCTCTTCCTCCTTCTCCTCCTCCCTGTCCTCCTCTTCCTCCGTCCTAGTGAGCAGGCTGTGGCAGGCTGCACCCTTGTTGAATGGATTTGGCTTCTCGCAAATGCCCTGCCAGAAGGTTCTTCAGCAACCTTAGTTGTTTCCCCGTTTTGCAGGTGTGCGGGTCGCTATCTGTGTGTGCGTGCGTGTGTGCGTGTGACTGCGTGTGAGCCCGAGTGTGCATGTGTGCATGTGCTGAGACAAGTTCTCATTAGAGGGCCGTCTCCACGCTGTGGAGCGAGCTCCCGGGACTGGAGGGAGACACTGAAGAGGTAGCTGACTTGGTGACATGCGTGGTCAGGTAGATGCCGCTGTCTATGGCGTTGTTGTTCTGGTTGGGGGACGGGGGCGGGGGGGCCCGGAGGCGCTCCTCGTTCTCGTCCACGTCCGTGTCATCGATGAGCGGGATGTTGTGGGTATAGTCGTTGATCAGAAACTCAGGCGTGGCCATGAAGTTGTGAATGGAGGTCTTGGATTCTGGTTTCTCCAGGCCTTCATAGAGTGAGCTACGGAACGCTTTCACCACCCGGATCTGGAGTGGGAGGCGGAGGGACAGAGTGTGAGCAGAGAGGGAAGAAAGGAAGGGAAAGGAAGGGAAAGGAGAGGAAAGGTGGAAGGAAGGAAGAAGGAAGGAAAGAGATAGTCAGTGGCCGGCTGGTGCTGGCAAGTTCCACCCACATCAATGGCTGGGGGTCATGGCATGAGAAATGTCCACCCGTTTGGACATTTGGAGGCTGCTCTGCCTGGCTTTGGGAAGGGTTTTCAGTTGGGGGCCTTGGTCTGGTCAACCGATTCACATGCAGGAAAAGGTGGCTGTGGCTTTCTGTAGGCTGAGCTGGGCAGATATTCTGGAACTCAAGAGTGCTGCACTAGGCTTTGGGCTGCAACCTCCCAATTCCCTGTCCTGGGGGGACTACTGGCTTTGGTAGCCTCTGGGGTCTCTGCCCAATCTGAATTCCAATTTGGTAGAAAAGAAAGATGAGTTGAACAGGAGAGAACGCTGATGAGGGGCTCTCTTCTCGATCTTACCAGAAAGTCCGAAGTAGCTTCTGGTATGAGCAAGGCCCCAGCTTATGGGCACCGCCCGCCTTTCTCTAATGGGTCTTCCTTCAGGGACCCGGCCTCCATTCCCAGCTCCCATGGCCAGAGCTGGGACCTGCCATGCCCAGAGTCTCCCTGTGGCTAAGTCCACTGGCCACTTCTCTATCTTTGTCTTATTCTATCCCTCAGGTCACTCAACACAGCTGATCATCCCTGTTTCTGGAAACTTCTCATGGCTTCCTGACATTGCCCCTGCCGGGCCCTCTTCCACCTCACCAGCTGCTCTGGCTCCATCTCCTCCACTGCTCTCTTATGTCCCTGGGTGCCCCAGAGCTCTGACCTGGCCCTGTCCCTCCTCCTCTCTGTCCATACTTCTTCGCTCTGGCCACATTACCCAGAACTCTGAGATCAAGAATGGCCACACTTTGGATTTGCACCCACTGAAGCCCGTCTCTGCTCAGATGCCTCTGCGGCCTCCTCATAGCCCCCGAGTCTGATTGGGTCTGCTTGAATCTGATGTCCCTGCTCCTCTGGCCTCTCCTTTCCCTTGTCCTCCTCCATTTCCCAGTCAGACAGTCTGAAACTTGCATCTCCGCCGCTCCCCTACCCCGGCAGGAAAGAGCTCCTGCCATGCCCAGACTCCCCTAGCAGTGGGCCTCTACGCTTAGCTGAGTTCACGGCACCTCTGAAGCCTCCTGACTGGCCAGCAGGGCGCTGAGACAAGAATGAGTCCTTCCTTCCTCCGGCTTCTCCACCCTGCCTCATGCACTCAAGTCCCTGCTGCCTCGCAGCCTGGACTCCCTCCTGCTTTTAGAAGCCAGGAGCTGATGGGGAGACCTCTGCCTGGCCTTGCACAGGCCAGCATTGGCCCAGCCACCAATGGTAGCTGGCCCACCTTGTACTGTCATCCCTATAGAGGGCAGCAGATGGAGCGCCAAGCTGCCAGGCGGACCCTGGGGTTCATCCAGCACCTGCCTGTCCCTCCCTATGTGAGCGGGTGGACACAGGAGTTCTGAAGCATTTCCAGTGCCAAGGTTCTATCTAGAATTTGGTTTTCTGGATTTAGACAAGCTGTCAGGGCTTGCTCCTGGGCTAACCCCAGCTCTCTGCCAGTTTTGGTTAATAGAGTTTTACTGGTTCAGGTTTCATGCTGTAAGGGTAGAGTTGTGTCACGGCGGCAGAGACCAGGCCTGGAAAGCTAAAAATATTTCCTCTCTGGCCCTGTACAGGAAGAGTTAGCCACCCCCTAGTTTAGACAATGAATCACTCTCTTTGGTGACTTCCTTTGAGCCCTCCGGGGGCTGGACCCTGGGGCTAACCAGGCACAGTGCTCCTGAATCAACTGAAACAATGCCCACCTCATCCCCTTTCCAGTGCAAAAAGTCAGCCAGGGCCGGGTGCCGTGGCCCACGCCTGTAATCCAGCACTTCTGGAGGCTGAGGTGGGCTGATCGTTTGAGCCCAGAAGTTCAAGACCAGCCTGGGCAACAGAGTGAGATACCCCACCCGGTTGCTATTTAAAATAAAAAAAAGTGAACAAAAAGCTCCACAAAATTGGAATTTTCTAGCACCTTCTCTGAAATCTGGTTAGGATTTTCTCTGGATTTGGGAAAGCCACCTCTGACAGATGGCAGATGGTCAGCTCTTTTCACTGAGGCCTTTATCCCTGGACTGCCGTCTGAATTAGAAGTAACATAGAAATTGAGAATCATTTGACATTTTTAATGAAAAGAAACAGAATTCAGTTTTCGCAGCCAGTGCAGATGTTGCGTCTTTCTTTAGGCCTTTCCTGGTACAGATGGTAGTGTGGAAGCAGCTGGGGCATCGCCTACTCCAGCTGGTGCCCATGCCCATCAAGTCACAGAAAGGACAGAAAGCTGCAGGCCTCGACCCCAGGGCTGTGTAGGGTGAGGTTGCTGGCACCAGGTGACCTTGGCCACACCCTTTTCCTCACTGAGGGGCCTCACTGCACCAGGCTTAACTCAGCAAAGGGCAGCCAGGCCACAGAGCCAGCCCTTCCTTCCAGGCCTGGCTTCTGCTGCTCCAGTGTGCCCTTCTTGGATGGCATCTGCCTTGTTTGCTGCTTAACACCAGATCCTGGCCCAGAGCAGCTGCTCAGCAGACCCTTGGGGAATGTGCAAGTGACAGAGTGAGCCGCTGCAGGGTGGAAGGGCTGTTGGGGGTGCTAAGCTTGGCTGGTGTCCAGGTGAGTCTGTTACAGCTGACAGTGAGCAGCTTTCTCCAGGCTCTGTGTTCCCTGGATTCGAATCCTGAACTATTAAACAATGTTTCGGCATTGGTCTTATGGAGTGTTTTCAGCTCAGCCAACACTGAAGGATGCAGTCAATTTCTGGGAGATTGGTTCAATGGAAAGCAGCAAACGTTTCTAAGAGAGGTCCATCCAGAGGGCTGGACTCCTACCTGGTGCTCAAGGATGCCCCATGGCCCCGGGCCTCCTTCCCCCAGCTTGGGCTCCCCTGCCATCTTTTTAGGCTCCTGCACCACCTCCTGCTCTGCTCCCAGCCCAGGACACCCGCCTTCCCCTCCCCTCACCCACCGCTACTGCTCCCAGAGGAATCTCACGGCCTCCAAGGCTGTCAAAGCTGTCTGCAGACCATCAGGCCAGCTGTATTACCGCCACCTTTTCCCAGACTGCCAGACTTCCGTCCTGGCTGCCTCCCAGGTGTCCACCCTCAGATACCTAAGGGACCTCTCAAATTGCGGGAGGCCCGAGGAGGACTCTTATCAGTGCCGCCAGCAGCCTTCCCATCCCGGTGCAGGGCTCTGGCCAAACCTTAGCAGTACTTTGACCCCCTGACCCAATTGCCAGACATCCGTGTGTCCTGTGGGACTGACCCTAACTGAGAAGCATCTTCCACATCCAACTCTCCCCACCTCCAGTGCTGCTGCTATGTCCTGCCTGGGGTCCCCCAGCAGCAGAGCCCTCCATCCTGCCTGTCCCTTCTCCAGATGGAGTTTCTGAGCTCTCTCTGGCTGCCGAGCTCTCTGTTGCTCCCCCATCTGGCTCCAAACCTTCCAGTAGGCAACAGAACTGGCCCAGGTCCTGACTGTGTGGAAATTCATTGAACTGGAACCCCCAAAGACTGTTTTACTGCAGGACAATTTAAAAAGAAAAGAAATGAAAGCACTCTCAGGAAAGATGGCCCTAGGGGTATGGCCAAGGCATCCGCGAAGGCTGAGGAGGGTCAGCTTGGGCTGGGGGACTCCCCACCTCATCTGGGTGAGGCACGGCGGCTCCCCACTGCGTGTCCGCGCCTCGTGCCCTCCTGCAGTCTCCCTCTGTCACACTTCTGTGTTCCCCACAGTCCTCCAGCCTTCCTCCTCTCCCATCCCCTGACACCCGAGGACCCCTCCTCTGGGTCTATGTGCTCTCTTCTGGCCCTCAGCCTTCCATTCCACCTGATGACTAACAGCCTCTCGGCTCCAGCTCCAGACTTGGGTGTATAAGCCAAGTCTCAAACTTAGCAGGCCCGACCCCCTGGCCCCAGCCACGCAGCTCCTTTCAAACGCCATCCCCACCCCTCCCTGCCCTTAGCATGGCGGTACAAAAGCCAGAACATGTTTGGTCTTCCCCACTGGAAACCCTCCACTGGCTGTGGCCCTTGGGGCCTGCCCCGGCCTCTGTAGCTCTGCCCTCTTTCACCCCTCAGCGTCCAGCACATCCCACCTCGCGGCCTTTGCTCCTCCGCAGCCCGGTGCCCACTTCTTCTCCTTCCTTTCACCGGAAGAGAATCTCCCTGGGGCAGGGGTCTGTCTGTCTGGGTCGCTGCACCCAGCAGGGTCTCAGCAGACAGGGCTGAATGTCTGGGGCCCACACGGCCTGGCACCAGTCTTCTGTGCTGGCTTCAGCCCTCCCCACAGCTTTCCACCCACTCCGTGATGCCCAGCTGGCTGGAGCTATTCCTTAACGTCCCAAGCAGGGGCTCCCCGGAGCAATGACTCCTGCCCTTTCTGCTGCCTGGCTGGGCTTCCTTCCTCTGAACTTAGCTCAAGTACCCGTCCTTAGAGAGGCTGCCCAGAGGACACACACCGGGTGCTGTTGGCTGGGCCCAGGTTCCTGATCTGCGTGGATGAGCAGTTCTGAGCCTTACACAGGGCGAGTAACGCTGCAGATGGACAAGGCCCATCCCTGGCCACACTGAGCCAAAGCGGAAGGGTTGTGGGTGTAGAGTGCCATGTGCAATGCCACTACTGGCCGGTTGGAGTGAAGGTGCCTGCCACGTGCATGGGGAGATGTGTCCCTGCTTAGCCTTCAAGTGATGGAGTTGGCAGTGCAGGGCTGCGGAGGAGGGTGAGGGTGGAGAAGGGCCGGGGAAGCAGGGAGACAAGCAAAGGCCTGGGGACACCTGCCCTTCCGAGAAGAGTGGAAAAAAGGAAAGGAAGAGACAACAGTCAAGCAAAGGCTCCCGAACCACAGTGACAAAAGAAACCGCAGAAGCTGTGCCTGCCACCTTCTCACTCTTCCTTCTAATTCCTCAAGCGGAAACAAACCCCATCCTGCTGCCGCTGTGCTGGGCACCCACGGGCCCGGGGGCCCCATACTCTCTGCTCAGTCTCAATCGCCCTGCCTGTCCACTGCTCGGCAACAAACACTGGTCCAGAACCTTCCTTTGGAGTCAGGGACCTGTCAGCTCCCCAGGCATCTGAGCTTTGAATTGAGAGCAGATTCTGAGCACAGCAGCCAGGGAGACCCATGGGGAGCTGCTCGCCAGGAACTTTAGGGTTTCAGGCCCAAAACAACCCCTGTAGGCATGAGGGTGAATCACAACTTGAAAGCGACACAAAGGTGTCCTCAAAAGCTTGTAGTGATACGAACCATCAATCAGCTCGGGCAATGAGAAGCCAAGCTCAGATAGCCTGAGCACTGATGAGAAGATGGCTTTGGTCTTGCTTTTCTACGTGGAGGAAGAGCAAGGGGAAGGCCCCTTTCTCCCCCAGGAGGATGTCACATGCTCGAATTAGGAAAAATGAAAATGCAAACTCCACAGCTGGCTCTTTCCCCAAAGAATTGAACCAAAGAATGGAAACAACAGACATGGGTCTGCGAGTGCTGGCAGGCCAGAACTGCTCGCAGCTGGCCAGTTTCAGGAAAATTACTTCCCACCATGAGTGTACACACGCATGCCCTGGACTGTGTGAGCCTCGATCTGTGCTCCTGACATCAGCACTGAGCAGCTGAACTGACCTGGGCACGGCGAATCCCAGGCCTGTCGGGTGGTCGGACTGATGGGGAGTGCCTTGGACCAGAGGTTCTGGGGTCTGCCCTAGGCTGCGTTCTGGTGTCTACTTTAAGAATTGCCTGGAAGGGCATTCCCCTGTGGTAGAGCCCAGGAAAACCTGGGGCAGGACAGGCTCTTGGGGAGGACTGCTACTGTTTCCAGCATGGAGGCAGACTACAGCGCACTGCTCCCAGAAGCCAGGGAGGGAGGCTTGGCTCAAAGCACATGACCTTCCTGAGAATGGAGCAAACTCCAGAAAACAAGACTCCTTCCGTTATGGGGTTGCGAGTGTGGAGTGCATGTCACCCTGGGCCCTGGAAAGGAGTGTTCAAGGAAAGCCTGGGACTCACATGGCCCGATGTGGCCCCTTTGGCCACAGGTTTTCTTGTTGCAAAAGCCAATAAAACAAAGCATCTGCTGTGATCTGTTTCCAGCGTGATTAACTAGAACTAAACGGCCCTCAGAGACCCCCTGTGGCCACATGAGACCAAACTCATGGCCCACTGCCCAACCCCTGCTCCTTTGCCATCTCATGAGCCACTCCAACAGCAAGCATCTCACACAGGCCCGGTGTGGGTGCTGCAGGAAGGATGCATGGCCGGGGTGTGTCTGTGCTTCCCAGTGGAAAACAGACATAAAAGACCTCTCGAGTGGCTTTGGCAGGCCTTTCCAAATGACCTGCACCCTACAGTCCCTCCTGGGGGCTGACACGCAGCCCCCTGGGCCTGCTGCCCTTAGCAGACCCCAGTGGCTGAACCCCCCTCTCTGGCCAGCTCTCTCGAATATGGACACCCCATCGGGAAAGGGATGCAGTGGCCTCGGTGTGTGTGGTTGGGGCATGGTGTGGGTGGGCAGGCTGGGCAGGCGAGGGGCACTGGAGGCTGTCCGGAAGCCGGGAGTGAGGTCATGGCTGGTGCGGTCTGACAATGCAGGCAGAGGAGGGGCGTGCCTGTGTTGGGACTCCTGAGTCCGGAAGCAGCAAAAGCGTGGGAGGCTAGACAGGGTGGGGAGGGCTGGAATGTGTGAGCCCTGAGCCCCAGCGATCCTAGTCACCCTCTTGCTGCTTCCTGCATTGGCCCCAGGGGCACAGAGTGAGGGGATGTCATGGTACCAACCCCTGGCCCTTTTCCCTGGAGGGCCTGAGGTCCTTCGTGGGAAAGGCTTTGGATGGAGGCAGCACCAGTGCCCAGGAAGGCCCCAGACTCCCGGTGGGCTGAAAGGTAGCCTGGCCTGGAGCCGGCAAAGACGGGAAACCACGTGACTCGAAGACCCTGCAGGCCTAGTAGGGGCAGCCCTCTTGTCTAGGGGAGCTCTGTCACGGCCTTCAGAGCATCTCCCATCCACCAGGAAGTCCCAAGGAGAGGGTGGGCGCTGGTGCTAGTCCCCACTCTGCCGGGCCTGGCTGCCCCTCCTTCCCCTGATTTCTAGGATGAGGATACCGGGCTTGGTGATGTCTTGGGGTCCTTGAGGCGTGGAGTGGGGGTTGGGTTCTGAGTTCTAAACCAATCCACTGCACCGTAATGATGGCGGGAGGCGGTTTTGTCAGGAGGCGGTTTTGGCGGGAGGTGGTTTTGGCGGGTGGCTTCCAGAAGCAGGCACGTCCTTCGTGTTGCCAGGTCCCTAGCCAGCATCTTCCTCCACGGCAGAGTCCTTTGTGGGGTACTGATGTTCAGCTGGGATGGGCCTTTTAGGCTGGCCTTTGTCGGGCGGGACATCAGGACTCCTGTGACTTTACAGCAGCACCCCCTTCAGAGGGCCCTGCCACCCGCCTTCTGCTGAAGCACACAGTGTGCAAGGGACAGCTGCCCTCCTATGGCTATCTGCCACTTAGGGCCCCCATGGAATAGCTTGTGAACAGCAGGAGGGGTGGCATCTCTCCCACTGTACTTACCCAGCACTGCCAGGCTCCAGAGGTGGGGAGGAGGGGGACAGATGGCCACGGGATGAAGGCAGGAAGGAAGTGCTAGGAGCCAAGGAAGAGAGGAGAGAGAGGCCGCCCCAGGGGAAGAAGTGGAGGAATCCAGAGGGAGAAGAGACAGCAGGCCCCACTGCAGGGCTGGGCTGGACCTGGAGAGGGGCGAGGAGCTGGCCCTGGGGTGGGATGAGGGCAGAGCTGTGGAGAAGGCTCGAGGAACGCGTAGAGTGGGGCCATGGTGGCTGCCTTCCCCTTAACTCAACAAATGGGCAGATGGACAGACAGACAGGAAGCACAGAGAAAGATGGCAAAGCAACATATGGAGGAAGTCAAGGGGGAGGGAGGCAGGGGCACAGCCATGCCCCAAGCTGCCCCTCAGCTCCCAGGAAGGAAGGTGCTGGGAGGCCACGAACCATTTCTGTCATTAACTGACTTGGCGGAGCCTCCTGTTGGCCTCTTAGGTGGAGTGGTGGTGAGGCCCCTCTGGGCCCACATCTAGGGCACTGGGGATGCTGGCTGCTTTTCAGCCCAACCACCATGGTGTCGGCCAATATTTGTGACCCGGGTAGGTGGCCCCGTGATGAGCGTGACCTGTGGCTTGGAGGAGTGTGCGTGTGTGTGTGTGTCTGAGTGCACGTGCTCTGTTCCCAAGGGGGACAGGATGGCCCTCCTCCTTTCCTTTAAGGACAAAGTGGCCCAAAACGACAGCTTATGCAAGAGGAGGGGTGACCCACACCAGGGACCTCTCACCAGTTCCTAAAAAAATAAAAAATAAAAAAAAAAAGAAAAGGAAAAGAAAACAAATCAAGCTGGAAGAGTCTGTGATGGAAGAAGGCGTGGTTAAGGTCTGCAGGGTGGCGTGTTCATGTTGGCAGAGGGGAGCGCTTCGGGGGCTCGCTAGAAGGAAAGGAAAGAGGTACCATAGAACCATCCTGGCAAGGCTGTGGGCCCACGCGCGAACGTTTACCGCTTGGTGTGTAAACTCTTTTGAGTTTGTTGGAAAGAGCAGGCTGCCTGGCTGGGCCCACTGGGTTCCCTGCGTTCTCTCTCACCAGGGGGCTATGGTCAGCGGTAGAGTGGCCTTTCCTTTCTCTTTGTAAAAAGATGTGAGCAATTATGGAAGTTTCTACCACCTTAGGATAGCCCCTGGGTTCTCTTTAAAATGTGACCAACATGGTGGGAACTTTTCATGGCAACCTCTCAAAAGGAAGTGGTTTCTCTCGGTTTCTCAGAGGAAAGAGAGGAGAGGGTGTGGGTTAATGATCAGGCTAAGGCCTGACCCCGAGGCTCATGTGGAAAGAGTGAAGGTGCCTCAGAGCACCTGGGCACGCTGTCGGCGCGGGCACCACTTCTGCAGGAGTATTTGGCTACCACTGAGCCCACCTGGGGAGAGGTGACAGCGGGATCCTTAGGAAACCAACTCAAGGAGGATGCTGGAAGTGGCTGCTCCAGTTCCTGGGTAGGTGGGCTGCATCCTTCCATGGCAAACAGTGCGGGAAAGGCAGCCGCCACCCCTGCAGCCCTGGGAAGGTGGCCCTGAGCCCACGTGCTGCCCTGACGCTGCACCACTTAACACCACGCAAGGCCCCGGCCTGACCCCAGACACCTCCAGAAGCGGCCCAAGTTCATGAAGAACCGTCGGCAAAGGCAGACAGGTTCAAGAAAGGAAAACCAATGGCACAAGGAGCACTAAACACAAACCAAACACCAAACAAAGCAAAGAAAGGAGGTCCGGAGTGCCGTGCGTTGGATACATTTCATAAAAGAATATGGCTTTTGAGAGACACCGTCTGGGCGGGAAGGACTGGACAGGGCGGTAAAGAAAGAACAGAAAAGCCACGGTGAGCGGGAGGCAATACTGGAAAAGAGAGAGGCCGAGCTGGGGAGGCTTATTCTTCCCCAGAGATGCCATTTATGGGAGAAAAGGGAAGTCAAGACTCACTCCCAGCAGCACTGGCGGGATTGGCAGCAGAGAGAATTACGTGAGTAGGGCTAGAAAGATTGGTTACGTCATGGAGCTGGCTGAGGACCGAGGACCGCCGGCGCACAGCACCCTGCAATGAAGCGCTTCTCTTGAAGGTACTCACTACCTCCATCTGTGGGAGAGAAAATGAGATAAAGTGTGGCTTGCACTGTTGTCCAGGCTACTGCGGGGGAGGACACATAGGGCGACAGCAAAGCCTCACTGGGCCACCCCACTCACTGGGAGCTGGCGATGTTTGGACAGGGCCCTGACCGAGACTGGCCTCTGTGCCACCCACCGAGAGAGGGATTGCTGAGCAGATGGTTAGTGGTCATGAGATCTGGAAGGGAAGGGTCACGAGTCGGGGGCATACAGCAAACATCTCAAAAATGCCCCTTGCAAGCCACTCATCAGGAAGCACTTCATAGTTCTCAACGTTTTTTTCCGCCCCAACACCCCTGAGGGACAGGACATGCTCCTATTAGAACCTGCCCTGCTTCCTCATGCTCTGTCTGCCTGCCCGTCTCTGCTAGCTTCTGCGGCTCATTGCAATGACCTGGCGGGGCACCCCCTCCAAACCTCAGTAGCCGAATGGTCCTAGCAGGAGGGGCGTTTTCCCACTGACCGGCAGGCATGGCTTCGCTTTGTCCCCACTCTTACAGCTTTCTACAAGTTGAAGGGGAAGCGAGGCTCAGGAAACTGAGGCCCACAGGAGGACCTTGATCCAGTGTCTTTGGACTTCCTGACCTGCCCTTGGCTGGCATGGGGACTCATGTCCATCTGGCTGGAGATGATGTGAACAGCAAAGCCAGTGTGCGCATCTGGAGCCCAAAGCTACCTGCTCCAGCCCGAGCCCTGCAGTGGCTACGTGGTGGCCACCAGGTTCAGCTAGGTGTCTTGACAGGGGCCAGGGCTTCGCGGAAGAAGGCAGCTTCAGTATTCAGACTCCCCCCGTAACTGAGCAAAATGAGGATGTCCGCCGCTTCAACCCTTGACGCGCTTCGGAAAGGACTCCTTCTTCTCAGCCTGCCCGGTCCCTTTCTGGCCAGCACATCCCACTTGCTCGCTTGTGACAAGGGGAACCTCGTGGTGCTGGCTGCGACTGTGAGGAATGCATACTGAATGTATCAGCGCACGGAAGGAGGATGGTTGATGTGACGGTGTCGCGGTGGCTTGGGGCGGTCTCCTGTCTAGATTCAGGAAAGGACTCTCACTGCCGCAAAAGTGAAGAGGGACGGGAAAGATGCCTTTCCTGCCTCAGGTTTGTGTTGGCCTGGCCTGGCTTCAGATGGTGTCCCAGTGGGAGAGCCACATCAGTGACAATACCACAGTTGCCACCACCCCATACCCAGAAGCCCAAGAGCTGGGCCAGGAGCAAGGCCCAGTCGCTGGTGAAGCTTCTCTTTGGGTTATAATGGGTGCAAAAAAGACAGACCGAGTCATGAGCGCTTCAAACAGCTACATGTTGTGGGTTTGAAGGACTCTTTTATTCTGGAAGGCACCCTGTCCGCCTGGTGCGTTGATGTGTTAGTGTGGAACCGTGGTGCGAGCCTTCGCTTAGCAACATAAAAGCGTGTGCCGGCCTCCAAAATCTGGGAGTGATTTTGGGGTTCATAAAATGCAGAAATCTGGGGCCAGCTGCCTAGGAAATGCTTTTCTTGGCTTCGGACATATGTACAACCTGATGGGCTTTTCCTTTAGCTCAATTTTTTCCAAGCAGGTATTTGGAATCAAAGGGAGCAGATGCTCTTTCACAGTTGGCTGAAAGAACTGACTGGTTTGGCATTCCTGAGAAACATGGTGAGTTGCATGTGACAAAGTCAAAGCGAAAAGCCTTGGGGGTCAGGAGCCAAGGGGAAAGGAGTGCATCCTGCTCCCGGGGTCACCATTTCCTCAGAGGCAAAGCAGGGGCATCACCAGCCCGTGTCTCTCTAGGCACCGACAATTGGAGCAGCCCGGAACTCTAAGACTAACCGACGGGACCCGCTTCTACTAGCCAGGTTGCAGTGGCACCCACATGCAGAGGACACAAGACACACAGGTGGCCAGGGTACCACTGATGCCACCTGACACTTCAGATCAGGGCAGGGTTGCCGTCTCAGCTGCATTGGCAAAAGTGAAGCAGGCCTCTGAGGGGCAAGGTCCTGCTCTCCGCACCCCCCACCCCAGGCTTAGGCAACTCTGGGCTCTGTAGCACAACAGGGGTGTGATAGATAGGAGCCCATCTGGGGGCAGCTGGGGGGCTCATATCCATGGTCTTGTAGAAGGCACAGTTGAACCGCTAGGAGGGCACTGGGGGAGACGGGTGCTGCTTCTAACATTTGATGTGTTTTAAATTTAGCACAGAAATATGCATTTCGGGGAACGAGAAAAGGCTGTTTGTACTGCAGCCCTGGCCTATCCGGGCACGGGGCTTGAGGCATTAGCCCTTGCACTTGGGAGGGAGACGCCATCTGGCTACAAAGCCGGTTCTCCTTCCTCGCCGGGGCTGTCTGTGTTCTGGCCAGGCCAGGGGGTAGGTAACAGTGCTGAGTCCAGACCTAAGACACCCTTCCCAGGCTGCGCTGTGTGAGGTGCCTCAGATGCCAGCCCCACCTCCCAGTTCTCAGCTTTAAATGTGAAGTTCTCCTGTGCCCCGACCTAGCCCTGCATGATTGTGGTCTCTGGGGTAGGCCTGGGGACTCTGTAGCTCTGGAAAGTTCGGCAGGAACTCTGACATGCCCCAACTCTAGTGCCCTGGGCTGGCAGCACAGGTGGCCCGTGGTGGGAGTGGAGTCAGAGAGGGCTTTGTAAGCATGAGGGCCCCAGGAGGCACATGGGAGTTGGGGAGATGCAGTGCACAGGCGGGCAGGGCATGTTTGGAAAGGCAGCCGGGGGTGCAGGGGTGCAGGAGGATGGGTTGACATCGAGAGGCAGGGGCTTGAAGGCCGTGTTCAGGAGCCTGGACTTCATCCTTAGAACAATGGAGAGAGGCTCCACCAGTCGCACTGCAGAGAGCGGCGTGGCAGGGGCTGAGTGCAGCCAAGACAAGCAAGGGAGGCTGCGGCCTGGGGGTGGGGCTGCCAGTGGGAGGGAACAGGACCCAGGGCACTGAGAACAGTCTTGGGCAAGTTGCACGGATGATTCTTTGGGACAAGCCCTTGGTGATTTGTGACAGACCTTGGGAAGGGCTGTGGCCTCAGGCCCTACCTAGATAGACTCCTGATGGACGCCCAGCCAGGTGTTCCCACATCACCTGGGGCTGGTGGCTTAGGCGGGCCCTGGCTGCGCCTCCAAGTGCGCAGGACCCCAGGGAGGAGCAGCAGTCAGTCGCTCCATGTCAGGGGCAGTGCGACTGGGGGTCCGGGAGAGAGGCTGGAGGGGCAGGGAGCGACGGCTGTGACCTGAGAGATGGTGGCCCAGGCCTTGCAGGAGGAGGTGGAGTGTGAAGCATGCTGGGTGGCCCTCTGGAGGCTGCTGGGGGAAGGGCAGGCCATGAAGCAGAGGCTGCTGTGGGAGAGGGGCGTGGCTCTTCCTTCCTCCCCGGCCAGGACTTTCAGCGCTCAAGGGCCACAGCAGGGTGGGGCAAGGGCTGAGCAGGAGGTGGGGGTGCCAGGCGGGTGAGGACAGCAAGTCTCCAGGCAGTGCCCACAGCAGGCAGGAGCGATGCAGGGATAGCCCGACCTCAGGAGCCGGAGGGGAGCCTTGCAGACCTAGGCGCGCGCCGTTTCTGGGGAGTGGTGGGCAGAGGCCGGGCTGCAGTGGGATCACAAGAGAGTTCCAGGGAGGGGTGTGGAGACACAGCGAGTCTGGAACATTCTGGCAAGGAGGTTGGCTGGGAGGAGATGGGAACAAGCGAGTGGGGTAGCTCTGGCAAGTGCCTGCTGCTGGTGGCAGTTGTGGCCACCTGACTTCAGGGGGGAATGCAGCTGACAGCCTTGGTCTTGGCCGGCCCTAACAGTTGGTTATTTGGATGAACAGAAAGGACCAACTAGGTGGCCAGAGTCCCAAATGAAGCCTCCCCATCGCGTCAACCTTGAGCTCGCTGGTGGCTGTTTGAAACGGGCGTGTCTTCCCGAGAATGTCACTTGCCTATGATCTGGGGCAGTTCCCGCCAAGTAAAGGGAGCCCCCGCAGTGATGAGGACAGCGCTGGCCCGCGCCTCTGAGAGAGCCATTAGTCACCCACACACACCTTTAGCTACAGGGGACACCTGGGCTCTGAAGGAGGTGTCAGGGAGAGGCGACCTCAGTGCCACAGCCATCAGTGGGCACATCCTGGAATGGCAAAGGGGACACCAGCAGCTGCTTTTGTGACCTTAGCAGCAAGACCAAAGGGTTTCCCTGTGGGTGTTGGGTGCAGACAGCCGGCTCTCGGCTGCTGCTGCCAACTTGCCTCTACCATCTCGGGATGGAAGCGCCTGGGCAAGAGCGAGGTGGGGCTTACCTGAGTCTGAATCCGGTTCAGGCCCCGGAACCAGAGGATCTGGCCCCTGCGGAGCTCCCGCTCGGCGTGGTCGATCTCTTCCTCGCCTTCAGCAAGCTCCTCGTCTGTCATCTCATCCTTCCCTGGCCCGTGCCCAGCTTCCTTCAGGCACTTGAGCTGGCTGGTGGGGATGGTGGCAATGACCTGGGGAAGCCACACAGAGATGACTGTGAGAGCCGGACTGAGCTGCGTCTGCCTGGCGTCAAGGTCCGCTCTGCAGAGGGAGACGCCAGCCTCCTTCCTCTAAAGGATGTCATTTGCTTTTTGTGATTAGGCAAAGGGGGTAAAGCTAGAGCAGCCCCCATCTCTGTCCCCCAGGAACTGGCAGCCCCTGGGGAACTGGCGTAGTGTTCCCCCAAGGGGCTGAGGTGCATTTTCAGGAGTATGTGGAGCTCTGCCCACCCCTCCTCCATGGAGTCCCATTCAGCCAAAGGGCCCAGGAGTGGAGTGCTGTGTAGCAAAGGCTCCTGGGAGAGATTGCTAAGCCCCTGGAACATCCTGCCTGAAAGCAGTGTGGCTTACCGGGGCCAGGGGCTGGGGGCCATGCCCCATACTCTACACTAACAGCTGGCCCTCCGGGAGGCTGGAGATGGAGGCCAGCCACGTGAGCACAGCATGGCTTTGTGAACCACCCCAAGAAAAGCTGTGGACACCAGGGCCGGGTGAGCTGCCTTGGTTGACAATACTCCCTGCATGTTGCTCCACACCGTTGCTGGGAGACACACCTGGAGCTCTGGCCTAGTCTCTCCTGGAGAGGGCATCTCCTGGGGTAAGACCGGCCTAGAGAAGACCTGTGCATCGGGGGAAGGTGGGAAGTGACAAGGAGGGTGGCAGGTGGAAAGGCAGGAGTGAAGAGAGGGCCACTTCTCAGTAGCTTTGCATATTGCAGGCCACTGGGAAGTGGGGGGAACAGTCTAGAAGGACACAGGGGACGCTGTAGAAAGGGAGTTCTAGAATGAGACGTCCCATCTGCCTTGTGTGTCTGAGCCAGTGTCCTTCTTGAACGTGGCCAGGTGGGGACTTGAGGACTGTTCACAGACATTCCCTTCTATTAGTTTTTCACTTGAAGATGCTTTATCTTTGTAATTGAACAAGGTTAAAAATGAAAAAGACAAGCTGGTAACCCTGAGAGGCTGAGCTACAGGCTGGTGCCATGTTCCTGGGGGGAAATGGAAGGCCAGTGGCCTGGGAGCTTGAAGGTCGAGAAGAGGGCCTGGCACCCCCTTGGGCTGTGGTTAAAGTCCATGTTTCGGGAAGTGAAGGGACCAGATTCTAGTGTGATTGAGAGGTGAGGTGCAGTAGCAGAGGAAAAGGAGAATTCTTAAATGAGTCAGAGGAATTGGGAGGACTGTCCCCGAGGACACTAATGCTGGGGTCGGCAAGAAGGCTGGCATCTATAGCAGCTGCAGCAGCCCCTGTGGACAGCACAGAGAACCAGCAGATCAAAAACAAAAGCCAGGCCGAGCATGGTGGCTTCTGCCTGTAATCCCAGCACTTTGGGAGGCTGAGGCGGACAGATCACTTGAGGTCAGGAGTTCAAGGGCAACGTGGCAAAACCCCGTCTCTACAAAAAATACAAAAATTAGTCTGGCGTGGTGGAATGTGGGAGGCCGAGACAGGAGGGTCACTTGGGCCATGATTGCACCACTATACTCTACCCTGGGCAACAGAACAAGGCCCTGTCTAAACAAACAAACAAACAAACAAACAAAACAAAAAAAGAGAAAGAAAAAGAAACAAAAGCCGGAATGTGCTCCCGAGTTCATGTGTTGAAGTCCTAGTGCCCAGTGTGGCTGGATTTGGAGTAAGGAAGTGATCAAGGTTCATTAAGGTCACCAAGGTGGGGCCCTGATCCTACTGCATTAGTGCTCCTAAGAAAGGAGACACCAGAGACCCTGCTCCGTCTCTCCACCACATGAGCACAGATTGGGGAGGTGGCTGTCTGCAAGCCAGGAAGGAGCCCTCACAAGGAACCGGACCTCTGCCTCCCTGGTCTCAGATGTCCAGCCTCCAGGACTTTGAGAAAGTAAGTGTCAGTTGTCCAAGGCTCCCAGTCTATGGTATTTTGCTATGGCAGTCGGAGCCGATGAAGATGGAGTAAGTGGATCCTAAACACCCAGGCTGTTTCTTCCTGATCTGACTGTGGGATCCCAGAAACTCCCGGTGTGTGTCCTTTCCAGCAGACCAAAAGATTTCCTAATTTCTCTCGAGACTTTCTCTTCAGACTTTGTCTTCACCCCATGGCTTATTGACCAGAGTGCTGTTTGATTGATTTAAAATATGTAGGGATTACCCAAGCTACCCACCCAGTTTGAAAGGACAATTTTTGACTCTTAACATGGAAAGGGGAGCTATGGGCAGTTTTCCTGGGCCATGTCACATCCCGGCCATGTTCCTTTGCATTCTTTTGCTGACACCATCCCTTGTGGCCTGTCCCTGGGTCCTGGTGTGTCAGAGGCCTGAGGACACAGTATGCTTCCTGGGGTGTGGACCCCAAGGCTCTGGAGCAGGGTTAGGGCAGTGGGGCCATCACAGAAGCTGTCTGTAGGGCAGTCTGGAATGAGGGGCAGGGCTGTCACTCACCTGTCCCCAGACCAGCTCCCCAACACCAACAAACAGGCACCAGAGCCACTGTTCCGTGGACAACGGGGAGCAGCTGAAGGGCTTCCCGCCAAACTGGACGATAACAATCTACAGAGGGCAGGTGAGAGAGAGAGGCAGGTCCAGCCGCAGCTCCCCAACCACCCTTGTCCTCCAGTGCCTTGAAGGCCCAGCCACCCTGGTCAGTTCCCCCAGGCACACAGGCTGCTCCCTTCTAGAGGACCACAAGGCCAGGGGTGCTGTGACAGAGCAGCATGTGGCCCCACCGCCCCTGGGTGCGAACCAGAGGCTGTGACACCAGGCCTGCGGGCACACCAGACATACCTGATTCTGGAGGACTCTAGAACCTTCTGGTTACCCTGCCTTGGCCTCCTGCCTCCTTGGGAGGCATCCAATTCTCAGGGGCAAGCTTTCCAGATGCAAGCACCCTGTCCCCTGTTGGACTCTCGCAGTCCGGGCCACTATCTTCCTGCCTTCAGTACCCAGGGCCAGGTATCAGACAACCGGGAGTGCCCCTATGCCCTAGAACTGCTGCAATGACACAGCCTAGCCAATCCTGAGCCTACCAGCCATGCTGCCTCACCCGCTCCTCCCCGAAGGACCCACAGCACAGGCTCTTGTCCACAGCTCCCACACCCTGGCTCCTGCCTGGCGCTCTACCACTCGGGCCCCTGTGGTGTGCCATGTCCCCTCCTCTAGGGATCTGTGAGTCATAAGCTGTCTTTCAGTGGCAACTGTCTCCTGACCTATTGGCCTTACTATACCTCAATTTTTCTACAAATAGACAGTGGGGCTGACCAGCCTGTCCACAGCCCTGTGGGAAGCAGAGGTTAGTGTGGCAGCACTGATCACAGAGGGCATCTGCAAAAGAACCTTCTGGAGCTATGGCGGCCTCGTGCCAAGGAATTAAGTACTAGGAATGGGAATGGCAGACGTAGAGGGGGCCAGGGAGGACTCCTTCCAGCACCTGTGAGAAAAGTTAGTTCTGATGAAGGCTCATGAAACCCTTTTGGAAACCAGTGGGCTAACCCAGGGCAAGGCCAGTGATATTTGGAAGATGATGAAGGCCCGCTCCACCATGCAGAGAGGACCAGGGGCTACAGGAAAGCCAGATGGGGTGGGGCTTCTTCTGGGAGTGGAGGTGGGGAGGCCCCTACCTGGATCCCGAAAGTGCCCAGGACGATGGTGCAGAAGATGGGGTTGCTGAAGATGCCGTCGAAGACGTTCCTCTCGCCATGGATCTTGCGGGCGTTGATCTCGTTGAAGAGCTGCATCATGACGAACGTGTTGAAGATGATGGTGTAGTGCTCTGAGGGGGGCGAGTGCAGAGGCGCGTTCCTCCCGCTGTCGATGTCGAAGAAGAGCTCTCCTGGAAAGTGGGGGCGCGTGCATGAGGGAGCAGCCCCCACGGGTGCCGGGCAACATTCCCCACTCAGGCACAGCCATCTCAGTGCGTGACGCGTCACTCAGGAGCGAGACCATAGTGTGTAGCTGCCAAGAGGGGTCTCTTGTCCCAGGGGATGGCCAATTCCAGCTCACAGACAAGGCCACAGACAAGGCAGCCAGACCACAGGCTCAACCGACCAGAGTCCTGAGACCCTATCAGGCCAGGGACAGTCCCAGGGGTGGTGTCCCTGAGCCTGAGGGCAGAAGGAAGAGGTTAAGAAGGTATGCTCTTAAGCTGGCTTTCCTTAGATGCCCTCCTCCTCCCTCTCCCACTCATGGTCCCCCTCGTCCCACAGCATCCAGCACAGCACCCCTGTCACTCCGTGGGAGCAATCGTCACGGGGTAACTGTGGGCTGTTCTGTTCCTAGGGTTACCATGGCCACTCTGGGGCTAGGTAGAGGCTGGGAGCAGGATGTCAAGACAAAAACTGTTTTTCAGCTACTCAGGTGCCTGGGAGGAGAGGCTGAGAAACAGCTGCAGGCTCCCAGGAGGCCTCGCTGGAGGAGGGTTGCTGGCCTGGCCCATTTGCCCCTTCCCCTGGGTGCTGTCCAGTCAAGAACTGCATCGTCCCACCCCATACTGGGCCCGGGGACACAGGCGGAGGGACACCAGACAGAATCTGAGCCCGAGGTGCTGGCAACAGTGTCCCGAAGGCCTCCTGCGTACCCCTGGCCAGCCTACCGACAAAGAGCAGGGTGAAGATGATGATGAGCTGGTACACGGCGTGGCCGAGGATATTCTTCATCATGGTGCGGGAGATGAGGGGCTTGTCACGGCCATATGGCTTTCGCAGCAGCAGCGACTCTGTGGGAGGCTCCGTCGCCAGGGCCAGAGAGGCAAAGGTGTCCATGATCAAGTTCACCCATAACATCTGCACGGCTTTGAGAGGAGAGTCCTACGGAGAGGAGGCGTTCACCTTTCCGTGGGCCGCCCGCCTGGGAAGTCCCGGGGTGGAAACCCAGTCACACCTGGGGGAAAACTCCTCGTGGGGTCCACATCACTGGGATTTCACGCCCATGAAAACAGATATCTCCTTTAGGCTAGCGGGGCGTTTTCTCTGGGCTGTCACACGCCCGCCTCCCTTCTCTCACCTGGTGGCAGTGATCTAGAAGGTGTGCTCCAAATCCCTCGCAGGAGGTGAAAAACCCCAGACCACAAAACAGCCTGACGATGGGGTCTGCCATTTGGGGCAACAGAGTGAGGGCTGCTCTCCTTGTCTCCTGTACCCCAGGAGGAGGAGGAGGCAGAAACTCTGAGCTGGACCTTTCTTCTCAGCTCCTCTGAGTTGTTGGTTAAAAATCAGCCTCACAGAAGCCAGACACACAAGGCCACGTACTGTCTGATTCCATTCATAGGAAACTTCCAGAACTGACAAATCCACAGAGAGAGAAAGCAGATGAGTGGGTGTCAGGGGCTGGGGGACGGGAAGTAGAGAGTGGCTGCTCATGGGGACAGGGTATCATTTTGGGGTGAAGAGAGTTTCCGGGAAGACAGTAGCGATGGTTGTAACATTGCAGAGGGAGATAAACCTCTGAGTTATGGACTTTCAAAAGGTTAAAATGGTTCTGGTGAAGTTTGTTATGTTTGAAAAGACCAAGTTGATCAGCAGGCATTTCAAATCCCTGTCAGCAAGAAATGGGTATTTTTTTGCACCCCCTTTCTAAGGGGGGGGGCAGCGAAGAAAATCTAGATACTCACCCATGAGGAAAACAGGACTATTCAGAAAGCATAACCCACACAGAAACTCATACACAGATGTTCCTGGCAGCACTGTTCACAAGCGCTAAAAAGTAGGAACGAGCTACGTGTCCATCAGGACAGACACACTGTGACAGTCTGTACCGTGGAGTGTTCTGAGGCCATGAAAAGGCAGGAAAAACATGGTGCTAAGCCAGATGCCAGACATGAGGCCACATATTATCTGATCCCATCGGAATGAAAAGTCTGGAACAGGCAAATCCATAGACCCAGGAAGCCTGTGAGTGGTGGCCTAGGGCTGGGATGTTTGGGGGGCAATGGGGAAGTGACTGCTCAGGAGCACAGGGTTTCTTTTATTTAAGATGATGACAATCTTCTGGAGCTAGATAGTGGCAATGGTGAATGTCCTGAAAATTCGAGTGTGGAATTGTGTGCTCAAAAATGGTGAATTTTTGGCATGTGAATTTGATCTCAATTAAAATAATCTGCAGCAATGAAAACAAAACCCTCAGTCTTATTAATCTGGCCCTCAGGCCTGAGCCCAGGTTTCCTAGCCGGGTCACGGTAGCCCTCAGTGCCTACCTGAGTAATGCAGGCGCCTGTGAAGGCCACGATCACAGCCACCACGTTGACTGTCAGTTGGAACTGCAGGAACTTAGAGATGCTGTCATAGACGTTACGGCCCCACATGACTGCCTTGACGATGCTGGTGAAGTTGTCATCGGTCAGGATGATGTCAGAGGCCTCCTTGGCCACGTCGGTCCCTGCGATGCCCTGACGGGTGACACACACACACTCACACACACAGAGTATTTGGGGAGTCCTTTCCCCAGCCCCCCTGGATCACCTGGCTCACCTGGGCTGGCTCCCTGCCCTTCCCTTCTGAATAACATCCCACCCCTCCCCTGCAAAGCCAAGAACAGGACTGATTTTTATCTCACACATTCTTATACTACACACAGTAAGTTGTCACATGTCATGGTGACGGGGCCTTCCTCATAAACACAGACGGTACTGATGACATGGCATCAACACGGCTTTACACATAAAGGCCAGCTGCCGCCACGTGGCCACCAACCAGCCTGGTCTGTTCTTAGCACTCCAGAGAGGCTTGCTGTATAAGGCACGCTGGAAAGCCCTGCAGGGGACACCCTGGGCAGGCGCAGTTGCAGCCGTGCCAAGCTGCTCAGCCCTCTCCCCTGCCCCAAGTCTGGCCCGTGAGAGCCGCTATCTCGTGAAGCTTTCGCTGGAGCTCCCCTCTGGGCTACAGGTGCCGGGAAGGACTGGGCTGGGTTCCCCAGGTGGCCTACCGAAAAAGGAGCCCAGCCTCCTGTGGGACCGCAAGCAGCCATGTGGGTGGCTTCTGCAGGGCCACCCTGCTCAGTGGGTGAGCAACAGGAAGGAAGTACAGAGGAAGAGCACATTTGGGGACTCTGCTCACCTCATCTGGGGCTAAGGGTCCATTTAGAGAGGACTGGGGGTGGGCAACTCCATCAGTGATGAGCCCCGCCCCCACTCCCCTTCCTCTCCACAGTACATCTCGTCTAGGGCCCACTATCACCTTGGGTATCACAACAGATGCCTTTAAACACGTGTTCCCAGACTGGCAGAGCCCACACAGGCCCAAGTGGCCCGGATGTGAGAGAAAGAACCTTCAGTCACTCTGTAACCTGCCCCAACACTAGCTCCTACTTCCTGGTATAAAGCTAAAGTTCATGGGACACACACAGGCCCCATCTGCCGTGGTGAGTTGGGATGCCAACTGGGTGGTTTACCATGGCAAAGCCCACGTCCGCCTTCTTGAGGGCCGGCCCATCGTTGGTGCCATCCCCAGTCACGGCCACCACCTGCCGCTGCTCGCCGCTGGTGCTGTCGATAATCCCTGGAAGACAGATCGGGGCAGGGCAGGGCTGGGCCAATCTGTCAACACATCCCTGTGAAGCCCTGCCCAGGGAGCTATGGGGGCAGGTTGGCCATGAAAACCTTTTGGGATTGCACACGTGCTGACTGTCCCAATTATCTGTGCTCCCTATCACCAGGACCATCTCCTATCCCCAAATAAGCAACCAAGTCTCACTGAGTGACATGGCCAGGGTGGGAGGATGGGGACTGGGGGCTGACTGACTGGTTAAGGTCTGGGGACATGATCCCGGGTCCCTGGCTCTAGACCCATTGCTTCTAGAGAAAGGCTATGTGACTTGGAGTGAGTCGCTGGCCCTCCCTGAACCGCTGTTCCCTCATGGGCCCCAGCCCTGCTGCTCCGGGCTAATGGGACAAATGGACCCGGCTTCTTAGGCAGGCCCTGGCTATCTGTTTGGGAACCTGACTTTTGGCATCAGGGAGCAGACAACCTCAGGCCGACCACCCCAGGAAGGCGTGGGAGCTCAGCTACCTTTGACCAGAGTGTGCTTGTCGGTGGGAGACGACCGGGCCAGCACCCTCAGCTTGGGCCACACCTTGTCCAGCCGCTCCTGTTCTATCTGGGGAGGGGAAGCACAGGACGCTGCAGAGCTAGGGTGGGCACGCGGGGGCAGGGAGGAGAGGGGGTCGGGGGCAGCAGACAGCCGGGTGCTACCTCGCCTTTCTCGTTGCGGATCCGCCGGTTGAACTCTTTCCCTTCCAGGCACAGGAAGTCCTCGCCAGGCTGGATGATGCCACATTTGGCTGCGATGGCCCGGGCCGTGTTGATGTTGTCCCCAGTCACCATGCGAACTGTGATACCAGCACGCTGGCATTTTCGGATAGCTTCAGGGACCTGGAAGAGACAAGAGAGGTGGGTGGGGCTATCGAGGCAAGACATCTTTTGTGTCGAGCAAGTAGCCCTTCCTCTATCAGATCTGCAGGCAGTGCAAGGTCCGGCAGAGGTGACAGTAAAGCCAAGCCATGGGTCCCGATGCAGGGTCCCTGTGGAGGCATGGGCCCAGAGGAGGCCCAGAGGGTGGTGGGGCTGTCTTGCCCCAGCCAAACTACAATGAGTGGGTGCTTCCCTCCTTCACCATGCCAGGCCCGGGGGACCAGTGACGACAGACCCAGGCCCTGGGGACCATCAGATTTACATCTGGAAGAGTCACCTGGGTCAACCTCATTTTCCAGCTGGAAAACAGACCCAGGGCTGCTGATCTGGGGTAAGCCTGCGTTATGGACAGGCTGGCAGGGGCCATGTTAGCCCTAAGGAAGAAGGAGGAGGGGCCTCGAATCCTCCGCCGCCTGCAGGGCTCCCACCTGGACTCCTTCCTCACTTGCCTCTGTAGCCTTTTTTTTTTTTTTAAACAATATAAAACCTAAGACATTTTTCTCAGGAGTTAATGTTTTTCCTAGAGTTGTAGGTTTTGTAGGATAATGTATTTCACTCCACCCCAGGGGAAGCCAAGTGTGGCCTTGGTTGTGTAGCACGCGTTTCAGTTTTCAAACGCAGATGCTCCTCAGTCTACGATGGGATTAGGTCCCAATGAACGCACGATACGTTGAAAATACCATAAGTCAAAGATGCATCCAATGCACCTAAGCTGCTAGACATAGCTTAGCCCAGCCCGCCTTACACATGCTCAGAACACTTGTGTTAGCCTAGAGTGGCGCGAAGCATTGAACACAAAGCCTAATCTGGAATACGGTGTTGGCTGTCTCATGTAAGTCACTGAGGACTGCACTGAAAGGGGGAAACAGAAGGCTTGTATGGAACTCGAAGTGAAGTTTCTGCTGAATGCGCATCACTTCTGCACCAAGTTCAAACATTAAGTTGGGGACCTCATGCACCATATGAGAGTCGGGAAAAACAGAAAGAGAAAGAGGTTCCCCAGTGCAAAGGGTTGAGAGCAGGAGGCCAGGAGACCGGCTGGGAGATGGTGGCATTGTCCCAGTGGTGGAGGGACAGGGAAGACAGTTCCCAAATGAAGAGGTATGTGGCTCTTCAGGCTTGGGGACAGAGAGACAGGATCAGGCAGCTGATGCCACTGAGGCGGAGGGGCAGGGAAGCCAGGTTCAGAGTTTGGGAACCTGAATGAGGAGGTCAGGCCTAGGCAATGCGCCTTGTGAACTCTGCTGGGTGAGTGCAGAAGCCCTGGGGGGACAGTCGCTGAGCCCGAGGAGGAGAGAGCCTGAGAGTGGGCGGGTGTCTCAGGTGTGGCCAAGCCCGCAGAGCGAGGGAGCCTGGGGCAGGTGGGGTAGACACACAGGGGCAGGGAAGGACAGGGACCTGGGAGTCCTCACATGCTGGTGGCCCTTGAGGCCATGGGCAGGGGGCTGTGATCTCTGCCACGGTGAGCGCTGGGGGCCCCACTTCAGGCTGTGGCAGGGCAATCCAACGATCCCTGCGGCAAATACCACCAGGTGGCCTGGAAGGACGAGCCCTGGGGTGAGTCCCTTGCTGCCAGCCTCGGGGACACTTTCTACTCTGAGGCTCTTGGGGTGCTGGATAAGATCAGGAGCCACAGGAAGACAACTCTCCATTGGGCGAGTGAATTCCTGTCCTGAACCATCTGGAAGCCACCCCTCTGCTGCCACCAAGTGGCCGTGACGAGCCTGAAAACCTGCAGCTGTGAACCCAGGCCTGCCACCTCCTCAGGCCAGATGTGTGTGGCCCTGTTCCTTTCCCATGGCCCCAAAGGGCCAGGCCAAGCTGTCCTTCCTTGCCTGCTCAGCCCTGCTCCCTGCCTTCTTCCCAAGGCCCCACAGCACGCAGCCAGCCAGGTGTCTGGAGAAGTCGCCAGCGCCCCTGGCCAGCCCAGCTCCGGGTTCATTACCTCCCCAGAGGCACGCTTTCTGTGTCCCCCCTGGGCCCAGCCCCGAGGGCCCTCTTCTGGCTGCAGCCCTGCTGCACCTCCAAGCACCCTGGCAGGTTTCAGTGATGCCCCTGTGTCCTCCTGCCTGTTGTCTGCACCCAGGTCTTTGCTGGGCCCTCTGTGCACCCTCCTCAGCCACCATCAGCTTGGCCAGTCTTTGTGGGGGTCTTCCCGGTGTCCTCAGCCTGGCCTTGCTGCTGTGTTCTGCCACTTGGACTCTCTCTCTCAGCCACTTTCAAGCCAGAAAGGAGCTGTCCTTGCTCCTCAGGCCCTCCAACGGAGGCACTCGATGGCTCCTGAAGGGAGAGGCCTCCCCACCTTTCCCCAGCTGTGGCCTTGCTTCACCTCGTTGGCACCCTCTCCTTTTGCTCTCCCAGGCCCAGCGGGGCCTGGGACTCATGCCCCTGCCTGCCTTTGCAGGGCCCATTTCCTTGGCTGGACTTCTGTCCCTGTCCTCTGCTACCACCCATTTCTACCAGGGCAGGCTCAAGGCGCTCCCTCTCCAGACGTTGTGACCATGTTCTCGGGACGCAGGGCTGCTCTGTTGACAGTACCCATGGCTGGCATTTAGATGCACTGTCTTTGAATTGAGTGTCTTTGCTATGTGATCCAATACATGAATCCCTGTCTCCCGAAGGAGCATCCCGAAGCTTCTTCTCCGGGGTTGCACCTGCATGCCCCAGGGCGGCTCCTGAAATACAAGGTCTCAGGCTAATCAGCAGGATCAGAGTGGCCCTGCTTCTCCCTGGGGAGACAGACGGGTACCTCCACGCCTCGAACTCTCCCTCCGGGACCTGCTATCCTCCACGCTTTCCAGGCTCTGCCATCTTTCCACAGCAAAGTGACTTCCCAGCATCAAAGCCGTGGCCAGCCTGACCTGTGCGCCTTCATTCTGCTCTTGCATCTGCCACACAACCCTTGAGGCCCCCTTGTCTGCACTCCCCTGGTGGCATCGTTCACACGGAGATACGCTTCTGGGCTCCCTCTCCCACCAGGACCTTTGCTGCGAGCTCTTTACGGGACTTCCTGCCCTTCAAGTGGTCCCAGCCAAATCCTCAACTAGTAAATGCCCATCCTGTCCCCCAAACCTGTGTCCCTCAGGCTTCAGCTCTACCTCCAGTTCATCCATCCTGGGGGGACCAGATCCCAAATGTTGAGGGTCTCTCTGCCACTGCCACCCTCTCAGCTGGAAGACGGTAGAGCTTGAGCTGGCCCACCCAGGACCTGTGCTGATGCCAGGGTGACAGCACCAGGACGGGGCACAAGTGGACTGAGGAGGGACCACAGTGACTATGTGTGAAGAAAGGCCGCCCCTACCAGTCCGGACAAGCTTGGGCAGAGGGCACAGTTACCAGGGCAGCTCACAGAGAAGGCGGTGGCTACCTCGGGCCGCACAGGGTCCTCAATGCCCACGACAGCTATGCAGGTGAGGTCACCCACGACCTCATTCTCATTGTCCCAGTCGGGTTCCTGGCCTGCAGGGAAGTCCCGGTACGCGATGCAGATGGTGCGGAGACCGTCACAAGCCATCGGCTCGATGATCTTCCTCACCACGTCGTCCCGGTCCCGAGGCCGGAAGCTGCGGAGTTCACCATTGCTGTTTAAGATGTTGGTGCACCTAGGCGGGGGTGGGCAGAGACAAGGTGGAGGAGGGGAGAGAACAACAGGAAACAGCGTTGGTCACACTGGATTGGTGGCTTAGCCCAGGACTGGGTCCTATCGAGAGGACAGCCCCATGTGAGAACACAGACACACAGGGAGAAGGCCGTGTGACCACACGCAGAGACTGGAGAGGGGCACCTGGAAGCTGAGGAACATGAGGACTGGTGGCCACCACTGGAAGCTGGAGGAGGCAGGACGCATTCTCCCCGAGATGCTCTGGAAGCGCTGCAGCCCTGCCCATATGCCCTGCTTTTGGACTTCTGCTGCTTGAAGCCCCCAGATACTCATGAACTGTGGCAGGCCGAGAGACCGGGAGGTGGGCAGGAGCACATGGCTCACGGCAGCACCACCACAGACTCCATGGGGCAAGGGCATGGACCATGGGCAAAAACTGAACTCAGTGGACAATCGTTATCACCAAGTCCAGGCAGCCACAGTCTCATTAGAGCTCTCATGACTCCAGGAGCTTCTCAGGTGGGGATAGGAGCCGAGGGCCACAGAGGTGGGCGAGGTGGAAGACACCAGTGGGGCTGTGAGTGCCAGGTGCTGCCAATGCATGGAACGCTGGTGATGAAGGAAATGATGTTACAGAAGCTGTAGGGATGGAGGGCCTCCTACGGATGTGGATGCACCCATGGAATTCTCACACCCCTTCCCAGAGATGAGTATCCTGTGATCTCCATGCCACAGGGGAGACTGAGGCACAGGAGTAGGGGGCAGTAACTTGCTCATGTACACACAGCCAGCACAGTGAAGCTGGGCTGGGCCTTTTATTGACAGTCCCTCTGTGAATCCCGGTGCCTGCCAAAGGAGAAGCACGAAAGAGGGTTGAGGCTCCCACAGCAGGAGGGATGGCTCTGGTGAGGAGGGGCCCTGGCCGTGGTGGGGAACGCTGTGCCTGGCAGAGTTCTGGGCAGAGTGCTGTGGGTAGGGAGGCCAGGCAGGATGCACTTGGTGGTCCAGTCTGCTGAAACCAGAAAGAAGGATAATCCTGGGCCTTTGGGGATCCCTGGATGTCCTGCAGAGGACCCTGTCCTGAGGGCCCTGGGAGGACAGCCATGAGGAGCCAGGTGGGTGGGGGACAGAGAAGCCAAGGCCAAGAATGTGGAGTCCAGGAAGGCTGAGTGGGCGTGGGGACACCAGGGCACCTGCAGGTGAAGCTATGCATGCTCCCTCCCTTTGTTCTAATAGCTTTATTGGGATATAATTCACACACCACGCAGTCCAGCCATTTAAAGTAGACAATTCAGTGGTTTTTAGTCACAGACTTGCACAACTGTCACGTCTCCAATTCCAGAAAATTTTCATCATCTCTAAAAGAAACCCCATGTAAGCAATAACAAGAAAACAATGTAAAACAGACACTGTCAAGAGAGTAAAGACAGGCCTCGGCGTGGGGCAGAATGCGTGGAAATTGCATAGCTGATAAAGGCCTAGGATCCAGAACGCATGATAAAAACACAAACAATCCAACTCCGCAATCAGCGAAGGCACTCAGCACATTAGCGTCATTGGTCATCAGGGAAACAGACACCTCCTCATGGCCACAAGGGTGGCCCCACCAGCACTGCCACACCAGAAAATAAGTGCTGTTGAAGATGGGGAGAAGGAGGGACCCTCGCGTGTCAGCGGTAGGAATGTGAAATGGTTCTGCCCCTGTGGAAAACACCCAGCCATTCTTCCCTTAGTGTTAAGCTTTTAAGTTTCATCCAAAAGAGTGGAAAACATGGGTTCACAGCAGCATGACTCACTACAGCCAAACACAAAAGGCCACACAGAGTAGGAGTTGCTTGACAGGAAATGTCCAGAAAGGCGAATCCATAGGGACACGAAGCAGATGAATGGGCACTGGGGCTGGGGAGGGGTGTGGAGAGAGGCTGCTCATGGCTCTGGAGTTTTTTTCTGGGGCGATGGAAGTGTTTTGGAACTGGGTTGTGGTGATGGTTGCATGATATTGTGAATGTGCATTCAACTGTCCACTGTAAAGTGCTTGAAATGGTGAATTTGATGTTTCCCTCTTTGACCACAATAGAAACAGAAACTGCCAGGGGCCTCCCTGCTGCACACTCACTTTTTCAGCAGGATCTCTGAGGCCCCCTTGCTGAAGAGGCGGAAGCCGCCGTCAGGCATGCGGATGACTGTGCTCATGGACTTGCGGACTGAGTTGAAGGTGTACACTTTGTAAAGTTTGTCTTCCGGGATCTGCTCCCTCACTGGCTGGAAGTCCCGCTTCAGGTCCAGGACGAAGCCCAGCAGGGCGCACTCCGTCTTATTGCCCACCTGGCGTGGGAGGGCGCCTTCCTTCTCAGGAGGCTGCAAGATGAGTAGGGCTAGCATGGCATCGGGGACCTGAGACCTCCCTCCATGTCGTCCCTGGGGCTCCAGCTCTGCCCCTGTGTGGTCAGCACATTGTCAGGGTGTGGGAGGCAGGGAGCAGAGGAAGGTCTACCTAGAGGACTGCAAGGGCCATGCCTTAGCTAAGGCAGTTTCCCAGCATTTACTGGGCTTGGAAGGGCCTTCCAGAATTGGCAGGCCCTGCCCAACAGCCAGAGCCACCTGCGAGGATGGACAGGAGGGTTAGCGGCACCCCAGGGACCACTGTGGCTCCAAGCAAAAGTTCTCAAGGGGGGCCTAATGAGCGCCTCACAACGGCTCCCCCGGCACCCTGGCTGGGCCCTCCCCTGCGCCCACCCTCGCCCTGTCCACCCGCTCCTGCCCCAGCTCACTAGTATTTTGGTGGTATAGGCACTGTTGATGGAGATGGCATGGACCAAGAGGTCAAGGATCTTAGGGGTCAGGGCGCTGGGGGCCGGAATCTCTTTGTAGTGGGTGTCCCCTAGATAGGACTGGACCACGGTCATGCGGTTGGTGGTGAGCGTGCCCGTCTTGTCGGAACAGATGGCTGTGGCATTGCCCATGGTCTCACAGGCATCCAGGTGGCGCACCAGGTTGTTGTCTTTCATCATTTTCTGCAAAGGGTGGGGGCGGGGTCATTTGGCCCAGGTGCTTGTTGGGGTGGGGGAGTGAGAGATGTCAACACAAACATCATGTGACTCTGTTCTGCTCCGCCAGCTCCACGTGTGGCACTAAGCCCACTGGGAATCTTGGTCAGCCCTGAGCCAACAGCAACGCTCTAAGGCATCAGCAATCTCATCTAATGGTGGGGGCGGGATGCGCACCCAGGGCCTCCCCTGCCCGAGCCCCCTCTCAGCTACCCACCACCCCTACCACTCTCCCACCTCACCACCCCACCCCTGGCTCCCCCACCCTCCTCCCATTGCCTCCTGCTGTCCTGGGCCCTCTCCTGACCGCCACCTCCCCGCTTGGCATCTGCAGGCAGCACCTCCACCCCCTTGCCCACATTGTGTAGATACTGACCCCCTGGGGACCCCACAGCCTGCTTTCTGACGGATCAGGAAAGCTGCCCACTGGGTCCCTGCCCAGCACCTCCCTTCCTCCCTTGAGCCATCCCAAACTTCCCCCAGTTTATACTGTGGCGGGGAGGTGCCTAATGGCTTCCTACCCAAGTTTCCGCTTCTGTAAACGGTATCAACTGTAAGTTTTATGATTACCTTGACAGAGTAAGCTAAGGAGATGGTGACAGCAAGAGGCAGGCCCTCTGGGACAGCCACGACCAGCACAGTGACACCGATGATGAAGAACTTCACAAAGTACTGCACATAGACCGGCGTGCACTCTGCCAGCCACGTCCGGCCTTCCACAACAAACGTCTCGATCACAAAGTAGAGGACCAGGATGATGACAGTGATGGCGGACATCACCAGCCCTGCGACAGCCGGGGGAGGACAGAAAAGTGGTTGCCAGGGGTGAGGGAGGGAGGGAGACAGGAAGAGGGAAGAAGAGGTGTGGTCACGGTCTCAGAGGCCTTTGTGAACGGCTTGTGGATTTGCCTTGCATTTTGGGATAAACAGCCCTGACTTGGCTCAGCAGGTGAGTTGGGGCCTGTTTGCAAGGGGGCTCTGTGTGGCCTCTTCTGGAGTCCTGCTGGGGCAGGGGAGTGGAGTTTGTGCCCTGATGGCATCAGAGGCACTGCTGGGGAGGACCAGCAAGCTTCTATCCCCCACTAACCCCCAGAAGTCGGGTTACCAGCCCCACATGCCCCCAGCTGCCTTTTGAGTGTGCCAGGGCAGAGCCTGGAGCCTTGGGTGGGGGCACCTCATGGGCAGTGGCTCGGTGTGTGACCCAGGGCTTTGGTCAAGGGTGTGGGATTTATGCTCTCTAGGGAAGAGCTGTGCCAGGCCCTGATGGCCCTTGCTGGCCCTGGCCTGTGCCCCTGGCTGCCTGGTTCCCACACCGCCTGCCACCTCCCTTCCACCTCACTCTGCACAGCCTGGGGTCATCTCCAGGAGCCCAGCATCTTCCATGACCAGTTGCTGGCCTGGGCCCACCACCTCCTGCCGTCCCTACCTGCTTTCCCGATCTGCACGGCTAGCTTCGTGAGCTTCCCCTGAAGGACAGACTTCTCTTTCTTGGGTGTGCTTGCTTTCTTCTTCTCCCGATCCTCCATTTCCCCACCCTCCGCACTCTTCAGGGGTTGCATTTCCATGGCCACTGCCCCATCCTGCTTCTTAGCTGCACACAGAGGAACCCCATCGCCAAGGTTAGAGCCTGGCTGGGGAGAAGGGGTTACAAGGGACTTTCATGGGGAAAGACATTCCACACCACAGAGAGGATGCAGGATTCAGTAGCGCTTTCTTATTGCCAAGTCCACCCACTTCCTTTCTCCCGCCTCCTAAGCCCAGGCTCTCCAGGCACTGTTCTAGGTGGGACAGAGATGGTTCTCTCGGGAGAAGAGAGGACAGACACAACACAAGGAATTTGGGCACACAGACAGGGTGACCGGTCCTGGAATGCCCCAAATAATACCTGAGAGCAGAGGGCTGTGGCCCATGGAATGTTCCAGAGCCCTGAACTGACTTGTCTGCCTACTGGTGTCCGAGTCACCTCCCACCTCCCTCAGGGAGGCCCAGGAGCCCGTGCACTGTCCTCCCACCAGCCAGCCCTGCACCTGCTCAGGTTCCATCTGTCCCTCCAGCACCCTCCCCGCCTCTCCCTGGAGCAATCCTGGCCACCCTACGTCCTCTTCGGCCCCAGGACTGATACAGCCACCTGGGGACAGCAGGCTCATCTTTCTCCCTTGCTACTCTCGTCCCCCGTTCACTGGGGTTCTTGGCGCTATGGCCATCACGTCTGCCTCCCCTTACTCCTGCTCACCTGGCAGCCCAAGGCTACTCGCCATGGCTCCTCTTCCCAGGGGCTTCAGGACGAAATGGCCTCACCCAGCTGGGCCCCTCTAGCTTTGCACCCCACCTGCTGCCACCTTCTCAACCCAGGGCTTCAGCCATCAGGCTGCCCCCCAGTGCCCTCCCAAACCCTGATTGTCTCTGCCTGTGACCTTCCTGAGGGCCAGGACCTGCCTTGTCCCCGTGAAGTCCCAGCACCTAGAGCTCGCTGCTGCATTGGGCAACATCTCCTCTGTGGGCCACACTGGCCTCCCTCACTCCCCTTCTCCTACTTCCTGAGCCTCACAGCCAGGAGCAGGCCAGCCCCAGGGTGTCGGCACCTGCCAGGCGTCTGGGGCTGAGAGGAGAGCCGGGTCTCTGGGCCTCAGTGGACCACTCTGTCTCCCAGGTCCACAGACTTGGCTGAAAGGAAGCTGGCTTGGGAAACACCCTGACTGGTGCCCAGAGCTTCAGGCGAGTCAGCTCTTCTGGGCCTCAGTTTCCTCATCTGGCCAGAGTGGACCTGGGGTGCCCACTTACAGGTGAACCTCACAGCTGTGCTGGGCTAAGGTCTCCTCTAGGTGGCTGTGTCTGTGGCCAGGATGCCCTGAGCAGCCCCAGGGGTGTGCCCTCTCCTACCTCTGCCCCAGGATGGGACTGTGCAACTCACTCACCTGGTCTCTAAGTGCTGCTCCTGCCACCAAGGCAGGTGACCCTTCCCCCACACAGCGCCCTCCACCAGCCCACCCCTAGAGCTCCAAGCCAGTGGCGCCCGAGCAGCGGCGCACGTTACCTTTGGTCTGGCTACTCTCCATGGCCCCATCCTGCTGCTTGCCTACAATGGAAGAGGGATGACAGACACGAAGGCTTGAGGACACCGTGTGGCATGCACATGCACAGCACAGCCTGGGGTACATGGCAGAGGGGGTGGGGAGGAGGGGCCTGCTTGCTAGTGGCCCTGAGCGCTGCGCACTGCGGCACCTTCTGCATGCCCCGCCTCTCCAGGCTCACCCCGTCACCACCTCCCAGCAAGCACACAGTCACCATGAACACCAGCATTCCTGAGCCAGACCTGTGGTCTTTGAGCCTTGAGCCCAGACCTACAGTGAACCCCTAAAGCCAGCCCTGGATGGGCCCTGGGTCACACACGGCTGGCAGTGGGAGGTTCCCGGAAGCTGGGACCTGCTCCCTGCAAAGCAGCTCAAGGGGTTCACTTAGATGGCCCCTAACCCCTGGAAACTGGGCAGACAGCAACTAGGGACCGGTTTTCCCTGCAGCTACGGCCAGCAGTTAGCTCAGTGTGTGTGTGTGTGTGTGTGTGTGTGTGTGTGATGAGTCTTGCTCTGTCGCCCAGGCTGGAGTGCAGTGGCTTGATCGCAGCTCACTGCAGCTTCCACCTCCCAGGTTTAAGCGACCCTCTTGCCTCAGGCTCCCACGTAGCTGGGACTACAGGTGCACACCACCACGCCCGGCTAATTTGTGTATTCCTAATAGAGACAGGGTTTCACCATGTTGGCAAGGCTGCTCTTGAACTCCTGACCTCAAGTGATCTTCCCGCCTTGGCCTCTCAAAATGTTGGGGTTACAGGTATGAGCTACTGCGCCAGCCCCAGTGTGTATTTTAAAGGGACGAAGGAATAAGACTTTAGGACTCTGCCAAGTGCTTTTAGTTCATTGGTCAACCTAGGGCCACTGCATGGGAGTGTCCGCCTGAGCACCAGCTCGCAGCAGCCCTGGAAGGCTGGTCTGGGCCCCAAGTGAACCCCTATCCAGGGACTCAGGTGGTGGGTGCAGCCACCCCTTCCTCTAGCTGCAGTTAGAGGAGCTTCCTGGGGGCCACATCCTCACTGGCCCCAGCTCTAGAATCGAACCGACCAGGGCAGGAGGGGCTTGTGGGCAACCATAGTAGCTGTGGTCAGTTTCCATCCAATAACTCATGTCACTGGGCATCCAGGGATACAGAGAGTGCCAGGTGGCTCCCAGGCAGTTGGCATTGGGGTCTGGGGTCCCTGGAGAGCAGGGAGAGGCCCTCCACTCAGCCAGGGCCGGGGCATTCATCAGGCCTTCTCTGCCCAGGGTTCCTGTGGGCACAGAGAGCCTTCTTGCAGGGAGGGGAGACCCCTATGGACATAGGATGGCAGTGCGATGACCCGCAGCACAGCAGGGGAGACGGCAGAGCCTTGGGGCTGTGGGGGCCCAAAGTAAGCATGGACTATAGACCCAGCCCACACACAGACCATGGTTGGCCTCTGGAGGAGGGAGGCAGTGGGGTGCCTGGGATGAGCATTGCTGGAAGAGGAAGGCTGGGCCTGGCCAGAAGACACAGGAGTGGGGGAAAGTGAGGAGGGGAAGGACACCTGGAGAAAGGTGTGTGGGAGTCAAGGTCAAGAGACGAGAACCAGGGAGGTGGGTGCAGGTAGGAGGGAAGGATCCTAGGTGTGTGCCTGGCAGGCTGCACCGACCAACGGGGATGTGGGGGAGCGACGGGGAGGGCGAGCAGGGAGCACCCGGTCTTGTGGCTATCCTTTTTCAGGCTCGCCAGCTGCTGCTCTTCCTCCAGGGCCCCCTCAGGGTTCTCTTCCTCCAGGAAGCCCTCCAGCTCTGACTCCTAAGTAGCACAGCCTGAGGGCCTGGAGAGCGGGGTAGGTGGGGCCTGGGAGGGGCTTTATGGTCTTGTCAATTTCAAAGAGGAGGGGCCTGGAACAGTTGGGAAAGACACACTCATTTAGGGGACAGGAAAGGTAAGAGGCTGGGAAAGGTGGCCGGAGACTCCAGAGGAGCATGGGTTCCCATGGGCATGGGAGAGGGCCCTGTGTGCAAGGCATGGGGATGCAGCCCAGACTGGATGAGGCCCAGGGTCACCTATCTGCCTGTGCACCCCCAGGGCATTCACTGGGGTGGGACACTGCACTGAGCCCTACAGAGACTTGGGACTTGGTGCCACCAAGAGGAGCCGGTGCAGGGAGACACAGGCCCAGGCTGCCAGAAGGCGGGGCTTGTCAAAGCTTCTAGGCCACAGGAGCAGGGGCTTTGGGCTCAGGGCTGACCTTTCCCCCGGCCCTGACTGCCTGACCCTGGCCCCCATGCCCTACACACTGGCCCCAGGGCCCTGGCTGGAGGCCCCTGGCAGGAAGCAGAGCCTTCCGATTCTGGCGGGGCTCCCTACCCTGTTTCGGCTGCAGAAGAGGCCAGAAGGGGCCATGGCAGCCATTTGATCTTGTCCATTAGGGCCTCCCTGAACAGTCCTCAGGTTCGAGCATCTGACGACTCTGCCCACTGCAGGGCCTGACGGTGGCAACTCCAGCCACAGGGCGAGCAATGGGCCCTTCTGGTGTAGGCTTGCATGGATTAGTAAGCCCCAGGGCCCTGCCCTTACCTGTCCCAGTCTCCTCTGACCTCTGACCCCCACCTCCCTGACTGCCTCCCATGCAGGCCTAGGATCTGTGGTACCTTACTGGGCATGGGCCCTGAGGGTGGGCACGAGGGTCCTCGAAGCCCCTGTCCCTCTGACCCCATTCATGCCCAGGTAGGCATGGGGTCCTGAAGCCTTTGGGGATGGTGATTTCAGGGAAGCTCCTGTCCATAGCACTGGAGGGGCCCTTGGCCTGCCAGCTCTCCGGGGGAAAATCCTCAGAAGAGGAGTCCCTAAGGAGAACCAGAAGAGAGGACCTGGACTGTCACCCACTTGGGCTGGCTCTCTCTGAGCCCCTAATTGCAAGGGCCCGCAAAGGAAAAATGGGCTGCATGGAAGGAGGCCCCACCAGCGCCAGGGACTGCTGCGCTACCTTTCTTATCCTTCTTCTCTTCCTCCTCTCCGCCAGCTCCAAGCAGTGTGAAGATGATGCCCGTCTGGGAGTTCACACCAACAGCAGTCACCACCATTCTTCCAGAACCTTCCATGACATGCGTGCCTGGCACAGCAACACAGAGACTGAGACAGGAATTTGCACCACCTGGTGGGCGCTACAGCTTGTCTTCCAGGGTATCCCAGAAGCAGGGATGCGGCGTCCGGGCCTCTAGAGGCCGTGTCCATCTTAAAACTAGGCTGAAGCCTCCTCCCCGACAGGGGGATAAACACTGGGCTACGTTGGAACCTTCTGGAAAGGGAACACTACCTCCACTGCATATTCTCCCTGGTGAAGGCCAAGCCCAGCAGAGGGCTTGGACAGGATGCTGGGCCACATGGCTGCCAATGCCCCTTGGTGCCAGGTTGGCTGGGAGGGTGGCCCTCACCTGAGAGCAGCATGGGGTCCTTGTCAGCTGATTTGCGCACGTGGTCAGACTCGCCTGTCAGGGAGCTCTCGTCGATCTTGAGGTCGTTGGCCTGGATGAGCACGCCATCGGCTGGCAGCAGGTCTCCTAGAGCGGCGGGAAGCAGAGGCCTTCTCCCCACTGCCTCCTCCCGGCTGCACCAGGGGAGGCCCTATCAGGTGCCATGGGCCACCCAGGAAAGGGACTTGGGAGTTCCCCTCCTTCTGGGGGTTAGGGTGTTGTCCTGCTCCTAGGGAACAAGGTCATTTGCACCCTTTGTATGGGGGAGGCCCTCAGTGGAGGCTGTGGGGACAGTTGCTGTGTCTGAAACTCTCCTGCTCTGCTCTGCCCTGTGCTCCCCCACCTCCCCCACCTCCGGCCTCCTGCAGGTGACCACACCCACTTCACCGGGGTGAACCTGTGCTGCGCTGCTCTCCTCTGGTCCACCCTCCCCGGAAATGAAAGCTGAGCTTCTGGGGCACTCACCGTACTTGACCTGGGCAATGTCCCCCACCACCAGCGCAGCCACGGGGACCTGGAGGAGCTGCCCATTCCGGATGACCGTGAACTTCTGCTCCTGCTCAATCCGGCTCTGCAGGCCTCGGAACTGCTTCTCCTTGCTCCAGTCATTGAAGGCCGTGACCAGCACCACACAGATGACGGACAGCAGGATGGCGGCCCCCTCGATCCAGCCAGCCTCGGCCTCACCCTCATCTTCTGCGCCTCCTGACACATTCCCGCAGGCTGTGTCGAGGACAGAAGGGAAGCAGTGGAGGAGATGTCACCGAGAGCCCTGTCACTGGAGTCTTGACATCCTGTGACCCTCGCCTCACCTCAAGTCCCATTCCTGTCCCTGCTTCCAGCCCAGGCCCTCACCCTCACCTTCACTCTCCTCTCCTGGCGGTGCATAGAATGAGAGGCCCAGAGAGACAATGGCAGCCACCTCCAGGATGATGAGGGTGACGTCCTGCAGGGCCTCCCACACCAGCTGCAGGAAGGTCTTGGGCTGCTTGGGCGGGATAAGGTTCTGCCCGTAGATCTGCCTGCGCTTCTCCAGGTCATCGGTGTTGTCCGCCAGGCCTGCACAGCACCCGGGAAGCACAGAGGAGAGGATGGGATGGGACCAGCAGGGCCTGTGTGTCCCAAGCCTCCTATGTGGCCCTGCCTGACTGCTCCTGGGGTGGGAGCAGCCCTCTGGGGCCGCCTGGCCAGCGTCTGGCTCTCCCTCTAGACAGTAAGCTCTCAGAAGGCAAGACCTGCACAGACCGCTGGGGAGGGGGGTGCACGTGGGAGCGAGCATGCAGCCCTCTGGCTGCCATCACGGGGAGTCCCTAGCATGAGGAAGGGATGCTAGCCACCCTCCTCCTGACACGCAGATGACAAAACAGGCCAGGAGGCTCCCAGACTCCAGCAGGTCCCAGGTCTCTGTGCTGTCCTGGCCACCTCCGCACTACCACCAAGGGGGCACTGGAAGGCAGGGGACAGGACCCAACAAGGGGAGCACAGAGGGGACCCAGCAGGGTATGGCCAAGGGTTGCCAGGACACAGGACAGAGGAGAACAGCCAACTGTCCCCTGGGGAGGGAGCGAGTGTCCAGGGGACTTTAGTGGAGACATGGGGAGGGCCACCAATCAGGGGAGGCAGGGATGGCACCAGCCTGGCTTCAACCAGACACCAAAGACTAGGCCAGGGCTCTGCCCCATCTGGAAACACCTCTCCAGCTCCCAGCCTATGAATTTCCTGCTCAGGCTTCTCACCAAAGCCCCCCTCCCCAGCTCTGTAAGATGGGGCCAGCCAGTCCCAAAGACTGGCAAGGTCACACAGCCCAATCTGTGGGGGCAGAAACACCCTGCAAAGAGGGCGGGTGGGGCCTGAAGGACGGGGGCATGAGCATGGTCAGTGCCAAGGGATCGGGACACTGCCCCTGGGCTGCTCATCAGGTGCTCCCTGCAGGGTGCAGGCAAGGCAACTGAGGCTGGAGGTGGGGAGGGCCCGGTGCCCATGAGTCAGGACAGAGCCTACATGGCCTGATAGGACCCAGCAAGCACAGGGCTGTCAGGACACAGCTGCCTTGGTTCTCATGCGGTTCCAGGGCCAACTTCAAGCCCTCAGCCGGAGCTCACAGCCAAGGAATGCCGGCTCCCGCTGTGTCCTCTGAGCCCGCTGGGCTGTGTAAGTGCTCGTCTACATGGTGACTTGAATGACACCCAGAGCCACTCAGAAGCCCCTCAATTGTCCTTGCCCTCACAATCAGAGCCACCTGTCCCTATCCAATTCTGTCACTTGTCATCCTTGAAGACGCTCACTTCTCAGCCTTCCTTGGCCTGAAGGTACTGGAGGCTTACAGGCATGACTGGCATCGAGGCATGGACACCCACTCAGCCACCTTCTCCCGGGGCAGGCATGTGGGATGACACTGTCCCCCCACATAGGGCCGCCCTTGGCCCCAGGATTCTCAGCACTGGCTGATCCCAAGCCCTCCCGTGCAGCGCTCACCCAGTGCCCAGGGCTGTCCTGGGCGGTGACCAGATGCACACTGACACCTAGTGGACAAACAGCAGCTTGCCGCTCCCAGCCCTGGGCAGCTGGCCTCATGCTGCCATCTGCTGCAGGGACAAGGTGGCCAGACAGCCCAGCCCCAGCCCATGGGGCACTCACAGTTGGTGTGGGAAGGCACACAAGACCCCCTGGATGACTGCAGAACAGGGGATAACTGTGGGGCTTCTGAGGAGGGCAGGGGAGGCCCCGGCCACGGTGGAACAGAAGCCGCCGCCCAAGCAGCCGAGGCTCATTTGACCCAGCTAGGCACTGGCCACAGGCGTCCTCCCCACCCAGAAGAGCTACAGCTGTCCCTGCCTCTCTCCCCCTGGCTCAGGTTTCTTCAGGAGCCAAAGACCTCTTGCTGAGGCCCGAGCTTGCCCCAATCGGGAGCCTGGGGGTGACGCTGGACCTTAGCTCCTGGGTGGTGGGGAGGGGCTGGGGACCAGGGACCCAACTGAGGGGTGTGCACCGCACTCTGGACTGGGACTGTCTCCCAGAATGACAGGAGATAAGCCAGGTGGGGTCAGTACTAGGGGGTACAAGACCCCCCCCCCCCAGTGACTTGAGAAGAAGCACATGCTAACCTCGGGAACTCTGGGGAGGGGAAGGGGGACTGGAGGGGCAGGAGAGGGCTCCCGAGACCCCTGGAGTTTCCACTGCCCTTAGCCTGGAGCCTCCATGTGAGTCTGTCTCCTGCCTGCCCTGCCTCACATGCCCAGTTCATCTGTGAGAGCAGCCGGGACCCTGGCCCCTTCCCCAGGAGCTCTCTCGCCCTGGTCAGCCTCTCCCTTGGCCTTGACCTGCCCTTGCAGCTGTAGTCTGGCTCGTTCCTCCTTGGCTACACGGGCAGCTGCCCTTGGCCTGGCCCTGTGGTGTTAGCCTTCCTGTGGGCTTGGGGTCCTGATGACTGCCCCACTGCAGCACCCACTGATGGGGAGGAGGAACACAGATGCGGCCCCTCTGGCCCTGAGCACACGCTTCCCCAGCAGGCCTGAAGGCAGTCCAGGTCCAGGGCGTGGGGGCAGGGGCTGGCTGGTCGGCATGGACACAGATGGGTGGCTTGCCTGGAGCAGAGGCCAGATGCCATCAGAATTGGATTAGGAGCATCTTGTGCTGGCTTCCAGCTAGTCCTGTGGAGCCCAGGGGGGGGACCGGGCAAGGCCAGGTTCCCGGGCAAACCCACCTCTCAGCTCAGCCTGAGGCCCAGGTTTCCTGACAACAGCAGCACAGTTTCCAGGATGGTTCTGGAATCCTCTTGGAGTGCTCCCAAGGCAGAGGGGAGTGGATCGATAAGCGGACCGCCAGAAGATAGTCCCCTTCCCACAATGTGCCACATGCCAGAAAGCACCTGCCCACGGGGGTGTGCCTGCCTCCTGCCCAGCCCCAAGTCTGCCCACCTTGCCAGGGGCTTCGCATGGGGCCTGGGACGCAACGAAGCCAGCTGCCCCCATGGCTCAGGCCTTTGCGTCTGAGGAATGAGGGGCAGGCGTGTCCGGGCACATGACCGGGCTGGGGGATGCGGGGATCGAGTCACCCACTCTTGGCACCCAGATAGCTTGAGCCTGAGGACCTTGAGGGTTGAAGAAGGGAGGGGCCGGTTCTCTGCCGCTCATTCTTCGGGCAGCAGATCCAGGCCTGGCCGGCTCCCTGCACTGTGGCCTCGGGGACGGAGGTGCTCGGAAGCCCATCAGAGGCTAAGCCACCCACCTGTGCACCTGCCCTACTCCGTGCCCCCACCTCCAAAGGCACGAGAGAGCTCCTGAGCTCCATGGCAGAATCGGGCAGGTTCCCAGGGGCCTTGACATTTTAAATATTTAACAAGGCCTGGCAGACAGGGGGAAGAGCAGCCAGCTGAGGCCCATCTGCTTCCTTTGATCTGGGAGAGGCCAGAGCCCTTGTGGCTAAATGGCCCTCCACCCAACCTCCTGGGGGCTGGGCAAGGAGGAGGGAAGGCAAGAGACGGTCGGGAGTGGAGCCAAGCCATCAGCCCCAAGCAGCTGCATGGTGCGGGCGTGTGCAGCAGAGGCAGGGTGTGATGGGCGCATCAGCTCCAGGGCACAAAGCTAGGGAGACCCAGGCCAACCCGGAGTTCCTGACCTGGCCCGAAGCCCCCCTCCATCCCCATTCCTCCCTGCAGCCTGCATGCCCCCTGCAGACAGAAGGGCCGAGGAGGCCAGATCCGCAGGAGAGCGGTCTCTGGGTTGGAGTGAGAGCAGACTGGGAGGCTGGAGGTGCTGGGGGGCTGCGAGGCTGGGAGCAGAGGAGATGGGTGGGCCCAGGCGCTGCCCTGACAGGCAGCAGATCAAATCAGCTTGCACTGGCTGGGGTACCTGGCACCAGGCTGGGATCGCCCCAGCAGCCCTGTCAGGCACACGACAGCTAGGCCAGAGAATGCTGTGGCTCCTGGAATCTGGGGCTGGGCCTGGCTCCTGGGGGTCCCTGCTTCATGGCAGACCCCAGCAGCCAGGTGGGCAGGCCACACAAGGCCGGGTGGAGCAACGCCTCCAACAGGGACAGTCAGGCTTCCACCCCAGACCTCCACCCCAGATCCTTCTAGACACTGCTCACTGGGCTTTCTAGAGCCTCCCTCAGCAGTGAGAGTGCAGCTTCGGCCAGCCCTTCCTGCCAGACCCAGGAGAGGCCCCAGCCACCCCAAGCTCCAAAGGCTCGTACCCTGACCGCTTCTTCCTGTTCTGATCCCCCTTAACTGAACACAGGGTTGAGCATACCAGGAACCCCCAAATGTGCAGTCAGGGCTGCCTTCTTCCTGCTGCCCTAGCCTGCTCCTCAGGGGGGTTTCTGTTAGGGGCCCGTGTGTGCATCCCATGAGGTTCCTATCTCCACCTCCCTACCTGGCTCTATAGAGTGGAGAACTGCTGATTTTGAAGGTATGGGGATGAGGGGTCAGGTGACAACCCCTTGAGGACCCAGGTTGCCTGGGACCTCTCTCGCTCAAGGAAAATGGCTGAGGAGGGGCACAGGTGGCCCTTGACGCTGGCCAGCCTTGGGGGTAAGGATGCCTGCAGGATGCCCCTCTGAAGGCTGGGGGAGGGCTGGGTGGCACACTTACCCACTGTGGGCGAGGTCTTCAGCCTCCGGCAGAGCCCACTGACGTCCCCGTAGGCCTCCTCGATCTTCTGCAGCGCCTCGGCCCCTCTCAGCTCCATGAGGGTGCGCAGCTCTGCCAGCGTGCACCCAAAGCCTCCAGCGTGGGGGGCCTCCCGCTGCTGTGGGGGCTTGGGGTGGAACTCGATGGAACTATTGGCCATGTCACCCATGCTGCCTGTCAAGCCTCGTCACAGGTGCAACCTCGGCTCAGCTGCAGCTAGGGCCAGGCGGCCACCCACGGTCACAGTGCCCGGGCAAGGTTTGGCAGTGGTGGGAAAGCTGCTAAGCGTGGACACCTGGGGAGAAGGAGGCGAGGAGCAGTTGAGACGAAACTGAGGTCCCATCTTCCAGAATATCCTCTGCAAGTTTTCACTCAGTCTGTGCCATGATCCACGAAGGGCAAAATAACCTCCCAGGCTGGGCCAGTGGCCCTCATGTTCTGCCAGGCCCAACCGGCCATGCCACTCCTGGGTCCTGCCTACCACAGGTGCCCGTGCCCCACCACCAGTCCTGGGCTTGTCCAGCCCGGCTCACTCCCTCCTCTTGTCCGGTTAAGACACGCCCGGCACAGCCGGCATGCTATGAGCCCCTGGCGGTCTTCTGGTGCAGCTTTAGTGGCTCAGTTTCTGTGGCCCTGAGGGTGCCTGGGGGGCCCAGGGCGAGGAAAGGAGTAGGCCTGGAGGTAGGGTGGGAGAGAGGGGAGGGGAGAGAGGGCAAGAGGGAGGGGCAAAGAGAGGGAGGGAAAGGGGGATGGAGGGAGGGAGAAGAGGGAGGGGACAAAGGGAGTGGCTGAGGAGGGGAGTCTGCCGATGTCGCAGCCTACAGCATATTGCCACCCACTCCCCTCCACGCCCTTCTTCCCTCCACATGACAAGGTAAGGAGCTAAGGTCTCCCCACGCTGAAAACATCCAGGCCACGGCCCTGGCCAGACTGCCTACCCCTCTCTGCCGAGCATCGCCAAGTTGTCATCCCTCTCCCTGTCCCCCTCACCTTATCCAAGGGCCCACTAGCTCCCAGGCTGCTCCTCCTGCAGCCATCACAGTGTTCGGTGGGTCCCCCTCCCCCACCACGGAGCCTGCTGGGCCCTCTGCAGCTTGTCTCTCTCCGCTCCTGCCTGGCCCGAGCAGAAGTGGAAGCATCTCCCAGGGACACGTGGAACTGAAATGGCCTCAGTGCACCTGACCTGGCCTTGACATCAGCCAAGAGCCCTCCTGGCAGCTCAGCGGGGCCCTGACCCCTCGTCTCTGGGGAAGCTCCTGGCTCAGAAGTATCCCTTGGAAATGAGTGGCCCAGAGCCCCGAATCAAGGTGACAAAGCCCTCAGGCAACCAAGTCCCTGCCTTACTCTCAGGAGAGGCCCTGGTGGATACTTCTGGAAACATCCATCCATCGCAATCCATGTTTGAAAAGCATGTTTAATCTCGAAACGTTTTCCACACGAAGCAGCCTTCACTTCTGGGAGATATGGGGACAAAATCGTGGCCATGTGCCTGTGCTGTCCCCTCCCCCTGCCCTGTCTTGCAGTTGGTCACTGAGCAGCTACTACATGCCTGGCACTCGGTAAGTCTCAACTAATCGCGTCCCTCTCCAGCTGGGACAAAGAAAGCAGCAGGCCTTGGGGCCAAGGATTGTGAGGCTGCAGCTGGGGCAAGGGTGAGGGAAGGCTTCTGGGGACAGGCATGGGGAGAAGACTGGAAGGTGTGACAGCTGGGAAGAGGAGGCCGGGAGAGCAAGTACAGCTGTCCCAGGCAGGGAGGGCTCCTTTCGGGGATGCTGTGTAGACGAATTGTACCTGCTTTTGTGAATATGAGAAACAGGCTGGCTTGGGAAAGTGGCAGAGCCAGAGGACAGCTGGGTGCATGGGGAGGGCAGTGCTTCTGACTGCTCAAGGCAGCAATGGCAGCCTTCGGCTGTCACCTGCAATCCTCAGCCTCGTGAGACCACCTCCCCTCCCTGGCCCAGGACCTTTGCTTCCCTGGGCTCCAGTCGCCTCATGCCTCAACATTCCCACTATGCAGCAACTTGGTGCAACTGTCAGGTTCAAGCTCTGTGCCCCCAGGGGGTGACAGAATGAATGGCTTGTCTGGTGGGCTCATGACTGTGGCTGAGTGGACCCACGGTGACTCATGGGAAGGGCAGTGGGCAAGGAGGAGTCCTCCCCTCTTTCATGGTCCCGGGGCCAAGTTCCTTCTTGCCATGACACGAATGCTTGTTCCTCAGAGCAGGGTTCCCCATGGCATGGTCACCCTGGCACATGCTCATCCTCCCTCCTCTGACCAGGGCATACTCAAGGCCAGCTCTGTCCTCCCCTCCTGGTCCCTGCCCCTGACCCCACAGGGGTGGCCCAGACAGAACCACACCAGGTCCTCCTGACTAGTACGGCCATGGCTGTGGCTGAGTGGACCCACGGTGACTCCTGGGAAGGGCAGTGGGCAAGGAGGAGTCCTCCGCTCTTCCATGGTCCCGGGGCCAAGTTCCTTCTTCTCGGTTGGCCCTGCTGGCCCTCCGCACCTCCGGATCTCCCACAAGCAAGCTGTGTGTCCTGTGCACCACCTGGTAGGTCTCCCTCCAGTCCGGCCACTGGTCATGACCCTACTGTGAGTCACCACTTTCCCTGGTTCAGGTACCATCGCTCCAGCAAGCCCCTATTTCGGCCTCCCATCTCCATCAAGCAAAAGGCCAGATTCCCTCTGAGCACCTCCCAGCTCCGCTCCCGCCCCAGCTGCACAGCCCTGCGAGTTCTGAGCCCTGACCGCACGCCGTGTGTTCCAGCTCCACCTGCTGACCTCTGACGAATCCTCTTAGTCACAATTCAAGTGGAACATTCTCCAGGAGTCTCTGCCAGTTCCCCAGCCAAAATTGATTGCGCCTGAGTCTATAATCCCACGACCCGTTCCTGTTTCACTCTGCTTGGCATTGCAGTGATCTGTGAGCCTGTCTCCCATGAGCTGGGTCCTGAGCCCTTTGAGACACGTGGTGATGGAGCAGCCGCATGGGGCCAGGGGCCTCAAGGAATGAGGGAATGGGGGCCTGGCCCACAAAGGAGGAGGCTGGAGCCCTGGGAGGCGGAGTCTCCATCCTAGAGGACGGGGTGCGGTGGGGGTGCTTTGCTAATTCTCATCGTCTTCATGAATGCAATAGGCTACAGGGGAGACAGGAGCCATCAGTTAAAGTAAGGCCCATCTAGACTGACTGTCAGCTGCTGTAGAGACCAAATGGCATATACTCTGCTTTCTCTGGGTTCTATATAAGCCTGGGTGATGGCCTCCCCGATTCCCAATAAAGACAGCAGCCATCACTGAAATGGCCAGGAACCAAAGTCACTAGGCCTGTCAGTTCTGCAGTCCTGACAGAGTTTCCGGCCTGGGCTGGCTGCCGAGAACGGTCTGTAGGCACCAAAAGAGCAGGGAACATACCATTTCTGTGCTCTTTCATCTTTCTGACCTTAATTGGCTTAATTGAATTGAGAACCTCCACAGAGGGGGCCTCGCACCTTCCAGCATTTGCGCCATTCCCACACAGACTGTCCGGCCTTGCTGGGGGAGACATCCAGGGGGGTCCCTGGCAGATGCCTCTGGGCGCTGCTGGAGGGGATGGCCCAAGTCCAGGCCCATTACTCAACCAGACACCCTCACCTCCCTGCTAGGTTCACACACAGTGCCTGCTCCCTACCCAGTGACTCAAACCCACCCGGCCAGAAACCCAGGGGCCCTCTTTCCCCTGTGTTGTCCCTCCCTGGCCACCCTTAACTGGGCTTTGGGGGCTCTCCCAGCACCTCCAACTTAGTCCCCCATGGACTTCCTCCAGGCCTTGAGCAGCGCAGCACCCTCCAGAAGGCTGGGCACTTTCTAAGTGGGGGCACCTCCACTCCCGGGCTGCCCCCTCAGGACCCAATCACACAGTGAGTTTTCAGCTCACATCTGCATGCCAGCCCTGGACAGACATGTTTCTTTCACTACACCCTCAGAAACACCCTACAAGGGCTAGGAGAACTCTCCCCCACTTACAGAGGGGAAACTGAGGCTGAGGAAGCCTCCTGCTTCTATGATAGTTCTCCCAGCCCTGCCTTCCATGTGACTTGAGGTGGGTCACGGCCACTCTTGCTGGGGCGCTCTGATGCGACCCCCAGAAGCCTCCCCAGCAGGTTCAGGTTGCGCTGCACTCAGCCACCTGCTCCACCTTTATGGAGTGGAGGACAGATTGGGGTTCTCCAGATCTCAGGTGAGGCACGCGTCGGAATTTGCCCTGTTCTCCATCCTGAAAACAGCCCCACTGCACCCCAGCCAAGTACCCCTTCAGTTTCTGCGGTCTGTGTGGACATATGTCCACACAGGGGTGATGGGGCATGTACTGGAGGAAGTCCTAGTCCCGGAGTCACTCCCTAGTCATGAGTGATGAGAACATGCAGCCCCTGGGGCCTCAGACCATCCAGATGCCAGAGCCAGGCCTGGGATGCCGTGGCCTCGAAGCAGAACTCAAGGTGAGAGGGCAGGAGACGGAGGCCCCGGGGCCCACCAGGGCACGTGCCCTCCACCTTGGGCCCTCCTGGAAGCAGACTGTCCATCACCTGCTCCCTACAGACCCACCAAGCATGAGCCCGTCATCCAGAGGCCCATCACTTAGCAACGTGACTCACTACGGGGATTCCTTGAAGTAATAATCCCCCGTCTCTCTCCACCTCCAGGCTCAGGAAGAGCAAGCCAAGGAGACAGGGAGAGGCATGGCCCAGGCCTCCCAGGTCAGGCCCAGGGTGGCCTCCCAGACCAGCCGGGGAGCAGGAGTGGAGAGCGCATGGAAGGAGGGCACCCAGGCTGGCAGCCACCCTGCCCTCTCCTGGCCTGGCGTGATCCCAGGCAGGCGGAGATGCTGGCGGCCGGCGTGCACCTGGGAGACCCTTTAACCCCCATCCCCACATCTTCCTTCCCTGGCGGCAGGCCCTCTCCTTCCTGTCTGCCCCCAGCCCCTCCCCCTGCATGATGCACTTTGGTGACCCCCCTGGAGGGGAAAGGAGGGTTCCAAGGATGGGGCCTGCTTGCAGCCAGGGAGGGGGAGGAAAGGAGCCGAGGCAGAGAACAGCCTCATTAATATTTGAGAGGCACCGCCGCCGCTGCCGCAGCTCCTGGGCCCTCACGACTCCACTTGTGCTGGTGGAGGGAGGAGGATGGGAAAAGAGAAGGAAATAAAATCAGAGAAAACAGATTTAAAGGGGCAGGCCTCCCTTCCCCCGCCCCCTTCGTTCCTTCCTCCCCCTTGTTCCTGGTACAGTCTGTGCACGAGCCAAGTGGCTCTCATGCCT